ATTTTTTTTTATACGCCTCACAGTTGTATTTGTGTCGTGGGTGCGTACAAACATACAATTTCACATACACATCACACCTAGACCCAGAACAACAATTAATGGATCACACAAAGAGTTGTTCCGTGCGGGAATCGAACCCACGACACTTTGCACGACGGCCAGTTGGCCAGCCACCGCAACAACCGTCCAGTCGTTTGAAGTATGGACAGGATAATTGGCAAAAGTTATTGAAACAATGAATTTATTTTTGCAAATAGGCCATAAAACGGCACTTTTACACGTCAATTTATATGTGAAAAATTAGATGAAGCCGATATTTATATGAAAACCGCCTTTAAACAAAAGAACCACAGCGTTTATTTCAATCTTTCTTCTCCCCATCCCTCTGTAATACTTCATTCCCCAAAACCCCTTAATCTTAAAAGGTTCCGGGTGTCCATAACCGACACCACTGCTTACCATCAGGTAATCCGTCAGCTAGTTTGCCGCCGTAGGTGCCACATAAAAAAAGTTTAAAGATATACCATGCTGCATTCAAACGAACAATTGCACTCGCAAAGAACACTCGAGTAGGAACTCGCCCATGTATTGGTTTAGCATATTTCTTGAACTGTAAATAAAATAGATGAAAGTGTTCTATTATTACTGGCCGTAAATAACGACTTACCTAGTTAGACAAGTGGTTTTATTTTTGGATCCGTTAGGCTTGCTACTAGACACTGACTCAAGTGAATGCTCCATTAGGATTGTTGATTGGAAAATTGGATGTTGGAGTGATGAGGGAAGTGGGTTCTTAATTTGTGTTGCCTTTTTTATTATGGTATATAGTGAGAGATTGCTTGTCTATTTTTGATTGTTGGAAAACGAGTCGAGTTTTTGCTGTTTTTTTGACTGATAATAAGAATAATAATACATATCAATTAATTTATTAATATTAACGCGTAACGTATGTAATTTTTGGCTGACTCGAATAGTTTCAAGCCACCCTTGGGCTCACATTCATGAGAAAATAACAAATACATTTAAATCTTTTAAATGTGGGAGAGCCGTCCTTTAGTACCACGGCCTCACAGAAAACCGGCGTGAAACAAACACAGCGTGTGCTCGTTTGCCGACCTACCACATAAAAAAAAAAAATAGTTTCTTGGGTAAACAGCTTAAGTAATTAACTAAATTAACTAAAATTCGCGGGTTCCTCACGTGCTTAAGTAATATTTTGTAAACTGGAATATCGACCGTGTTAACATCGGGCACGTTATTAAGATTAATGTTGATTAACTCCATGTTATTACTTATAGTTTATAAATATTAAAGTTGAAAAGATTATATATACTTCGGAAAGTAAACTAAATAATCGACGAATTATACAAGGGTTATCATATATGTATGTACTAGCTTTTGCCCGCGACTTAATTCGCGTGGAATAGTGACTTCTTGCAGATTTTTGGTATAAAAACTATCCTATAATATTCTTGAGTTCCAAACTATGTCTGTACCAAATATCAATATTAGGCGTGAAGAAAAGATAGAGTTACTTTCGCATTTATAATATGAGTTTGTGGTTTGGATTTGGATAATATTATGTACTAATATTTTAAAGAGAAAATGTTTGGTTGTTTGATTTGAATGTAGGTACTCCGAAACTACTAAGCCGATTTGAAAAATTCTTTCACTGCTGGGATAATGCGCAATAATCCCCGTCGAGTATTGATTATAAAATACCAGTGTGTCACAGAGGGGGGCGGGTAGTAATATAATTATAATTAATAAATTTATATTTCTCAATACGGATGTCGTGGTGGCCCGGAGGTTAAGGAGCCCGCTTCTCATGAGGGTGTGGGTTCGAAACCTGGCAAGTACCAATGTGACTTTTTCCGAGTTATATGTACTTTCTATGATTTATTATTTAGACACCACTGACATGCGGTGAAGGAAAACACCGAGAGGAAACCTGGACTTATAATTTCTAATTATAAGTTTGAAATCGCCAACCCGCATTGAGCAAGCGTGGTGATTAATGCTCTAACCTTCTCCGTATGAGAAGAGGCCTTTGCTCAGCAGTGGGCATTTATAGGCTGATGATGATGAATACGGATCAGCGGTGTAATCTGGCCTTTTGTATTTCGTTCGAGGGTTCGAAGATTTGGCGATTGTGGGTTGAGGGAGTTGTATTAGGCCACCAGTAAACTTACAAACACGGCGAAACATAACGCTAGAATTATTTCGATGACATAAAGTGTGGTTTCAGCTCTCTTTTTTTAATAAGGGCGTGGTATAACTCCGGCTCTGCCGAGAGCGAGAGTTGACAGCCCACGTTTTTTTTTTTGTTCTAAGACTTTGCCCACTTGCCCCACACTAAGATTTTCTCCTGTGTCGTGGGTGCGTTTACAAACATACAATTCCACATGCACATCACAACCAGACCCGGAACAACGATTTGTGGGTCACACAAAGAGTTGCTCCGTGCGGTTCAAACCGGCGACACGTTGCACGGCAGCCAGTTGCCCAGCCACCGCACCAACCGTAGAGTCAACATTCTATTACATAAGACCCTAACTTCGCATATCTATATCCCCTCTACTTTTCTAATATTTTCTGATAAGAACCTTCTCCTGACAATAATAAACACAACAAAAAAAGAATGAGCAAAATTGGTCCAAGCGTTGTTAAGTTATGCGCTTACCAACACATTTTGCGATCCATTTTTATACATAAAGATATAATATATATATATATATATATAAGTGAAAGCCATGTTTACAAAATAAATAACTACTTAAACTTGAACAAAACAAACAATACAGTATCTTATATTGCATTCAAATCCCGTCGCAACCATTTTTCGCGGAAAGAGCCAAAATATTTGGACCTACGAATTGTAAATGAAATATGCAGGAGCAAGGGTTCATTCCACCCTGGAGAGGTCGCGTCTATAGGGATCAATGTTTTTTCCTTTATTTATGTTTATTTTCTCCTGTGAGGGTATTTTGGAACAACAAATTCTGTCCACAACGATGTTATCAGACTTTCTTTTCTTGTACCCATCCCACCTTCGCAAGGGTGTAATAGGTTAAGGAGCCCGCTTCTCATGCATGAGGGCGATTCGAATCCTGGCAAGTACCATGTGACCTTTTCCAAGTTATATGTACTTTCTATAATTATTTAGACACTACTGACATACGGTGAAGGAAAACATCGTGAGGAAACCTGGACTTATAAATTTGTAATTATAAGTTTGAAATCGCCAACCTGCATTGAGCAAGCGTGGTGATTAATGCTCTAACCTTCTCCGTGTGAGAAGAGGCCTTTAGAGGCCTTTTCTCGGCAGTGGGCACTTATAGGCTGATGATGAGGGGTGCAATGCTGATACTAATTCCACTATAAAATTTATGTTATGACACGGGTTTCCAACTATCTCGCTGACGAAAGGGTCATTTTCAAGGGTCCCTATTTCCCAGCTCTCCCCTCTACTTTTCTAAACTTTTCTTTCATAAGATCCTTCTCCTGACAATTACAAATACAACAAAGAAAGAATTGGCCAAATTGGTCCAGGTGTTGTTGAGTTATGGGCTTACCAACACATTTCGCGATCCATTTTTATTTTATAGAAGAAGATAGATATAGCTTCTCTCGCGCGGTTTCACCCGCTGCTCGGCTCCATTTAATCGTAGAGTGGTGTTTTATAGCCAATAACACTCAGGAACATGGTAGCTATCTATTAGTGAAAGAATTTCGTTAAACCGACCAGCGGTTCCAAAGATTATCCCCTACATACAAACTTACAAATACCTCTCTATAATATGAGTATAGAAAACTTCCTCTTCAAACACTCTATCTATTAAAAAAAACCGCATCAAACTACGTGTTGATTAGGAAGCTGATTCACCTACATAATTATTATTATTATTATTGAAATAACATACATATATTCCTAATAACGTAAGCGTAAATATGTAGGTAGTTCTAAATATTCCAATCGATTTTTTAATTCATTGGTTGGGCCTTTAGGCTGCCCACGCTAACGCCTCTTGATGGATTTGTTTTTATTTTGGTCGTTGCTTTGTTTTGGCGTGGTAGCTCGGAGAGTTCTCTCGTATGCGCGTTGGTTGAGGAACAGGGAGGGTTTTAGTCGCTAAGAGTGACTATGTATGATCTTCTCGGAAATAAACTGGTCCGCGATCGATACCTGGCAAGACCAAAGTGAGTAATTATTATGTTTTCGGCGTACTCACGTAATAATTTGACGGGATATTCGACTAGTTTCAAGCCATGCTAGACGCCCATGAGTAGCAGCGCAACAGTCGCCGCTTCGCGTGTCGCGGAATGCTGCTCATGAATATGGGCCTCTAGCATGGCTTGAAACTAGTCGAGTATCTCGTCAAAATTATTACTTGAGTAAGCCGAAAACATAATAATAATTTAGAATGTCTCACGAAAGTTTTAATAAAAACCAATGTGACTTTTTCTAAGTTACACGTCATCTCATTCTGTGATTGGTCCTATACGCTTTCATTTCGAGTTATTCAGGTCTTGTATTAGAGTATGAGATTGTTGTTAGATGATCTAGGTCCTTTTTAGACCTTATGATGGAGAAATACTGACTTTCTTTTGATATGTCCGTCATTTTGTTTTTAAAGATTAAACTGGTTTTGTTTTTCTTCTTTTATGGAATTTGCCTTTATTGAGCTTATTGATTTGAAATATCGTGTATAAGATTACGATTCAGGACTTCTAATACAGAACGGTGACTTAACCCTCCAGTTAATTACGTGAAAACGACTCGACTAGTTTCAAACCGCAACGGGACTCTTATTTATAACTAGTGTGCGACACTAGCCCTAGGTAAAAATGTATCATCGATAGTTGGTTCCAAGATTTTGAACAGCTACTATTTGAATTTCGTGATGATGATGACGATTCTTTTGTGATGCTGTGGAAGCAAAAACCTTGGTGGGTTTTTAATCTATCTAATTAATGTTTTTTTTTTTTGTTCTTTTCAGATAATCAGTGCAAAAGTGTTTAGTGCCTAAGCCCAGTCTGTGATTAAAACAGTGTCGTGTTTGTAACTGAATGTGTAATATTAGACTGTAATAGTGGACTCAGTGCTTGGTGAGATGCTGGTCAGTAGAACTATCGAGTGCGGTAACAGGGCTGACTTTGTTAAGTGAAAACCGCTGGAACAAGGGAAAAGGTGAGGATTTGATTTCTTAAATGGCCTTAAAGGACCATGATGATGTATATGTACTATGCTTGTATATTTGCTAGGTTTCGCCAGTGGTGTATGTTAACGAAATACAGCCTGTGTGTTAATCCAGGGTATCACCTATCTACATTCCAAATTTTAACGTAATGGGTTCAGGCGTTTTGGCGTGAAAGTTTACCAAACATACTTCCATACATTCTCGCAAATATAGGGAATATTTGGTCTGGTATATCAAAACACAGAAATAAACTCCCAAGGGTTAAGGCAATGCCGGGGTTGCAGGGCAAGCGCAACGAGTCACCGCTGCCTCGGCCTATAGCAGGAGGAAGAAGAAAAAGAAGGGGTTTTAGTCAGTTAAGGCGGGAGAAGTCATTTGATGATTTCCCCTCACAAAAACTAATAAAATCAAATAAGGGTTAAGGCATTAGGAAAAGAGTTATTGCGATTCTGATATTTTTATATGAAATCTGAACCTCTTAATAAATAAATAAAAATAATAAACCACTGCCTATTCTTCAAACAATGATTTTATTGACCATTTACATCTATAAATATTTCCTCTCCGCTAGATGGCGCACTATCCTCAACCAGCAAATTTGGAGGCGGCTCTGCCGCTCCTCAATAGGCCGGACCTTCGTCTCCGCCAGCAGCTCGGAGACCAGCTCACGGCTCTGGTGCGCAAGGAGCCGGAGATCTCACACGACCTGGCTGCACAACTCCTGGACTCCATGGTAGCGTGGCTCAATGGTGGTAACTTTAAGGTAAGATGAATATTTTCGCTTTTAGTTCTTGTTGAGTGGCGCTAGTGTAGTCTTAAGTCTTGTTAGGTTTTAGCTTTTTATTGCGACGAACTCACTGTATTTTTGCCGCAGTAGCTACGTGGCTACTGCTCAACGTGTTGCGGGTTCGATTTCCGCACGAAACAATAAAGAATTGTTTCATGCGGAAATGTGATCATAAATTGTTGATAGTCTGTATCATAAATTATATTTGTTAACGAACCCACAAGGGAAAGTCCTAATATAGGGCCATGTATTAAAAGCAAAAAGTAGGTATATCTTCCTTTAGAATCAGACCCGCCCCGGATTCACATGGATGCAATGCTGATACTAAATTTCTCCACAACTTAATGGATATTATTATACATATAAACCTTCCTCTTCAATCACTATCCATTTGCGTAACTTTTAAGCATATAGGTACATGCAGGGATATAGGGACAGAGAAAGCGACTTTGTTATATACTATATAGTGTTTTATACATATGTACATTACATTCTTATTCAAGTGTAAAATATTTCAAGATCACAATAAGCCATGTCTGTCCAGCCTTGAATTTTAGTCAGACTAACGCACAGCAATTAATATATAATATATGTATGTATAATACAAGAAACACGTCATTAGTTGATCTTAAACGCCGACGATCGAGGCGTCCTCAATGTATCATGCACACTCTGATTGCGATCGCGTTACCGCTTGCCCACCGCGCTTCATTGCCCACACAGTCTTATTCTGGAGATTTATAATAAAGAGGTAACATTTGTAAGTTTGTATGTTGGTGCTAATCTTCGGAATAGCTGGTCGGATTGCCAAAATTCTTTCACTCAAAGCTACAACGTTCCTGAGTGCTATAGGCTATAAATTATACTTGATTAGCGTATTTTAGTCGAGCTATCGCTTTAAACGATGCTGTTTTTTAAACCCCGGGATAGGACTTTTATAGAAAGTAGGCGAAAGCTAGTTCTGGATATAAAACTTTCCAGAGAGTTGTGTTTCGTCGTTTGAGTGAGGTTACCGGAGGCCCAATCCCAAAATCTCTAAATTCCTAAACCCTACAAACGGCAACTCACTTGTAACTACTCCGTAATTGCGGGTGTCCATGGGCGGCGCTGATTGCTTACCATCAGGTAATCCGTCTGCCCGTTTACTGTCCAATCACATAAAAAATGCTATCTACACGATACTTATTCAAGCAAGAAGTACCACGTCTTACGTGATGTACAATGCGGCCGACGTATCTTGGCGAGTCTGAAGTTAGCCGTTTGTCTGCGCAATGCACCTTTTAGGAACAAATTTGTGTACTGCGCAGCTAATCGGCTAACTTCAGACTCGCCAAGATACGTCGGCCGCACTGTAATTTCTTCGTCCAACATATGTCGCAATCAACTGGTAAAAATAGACGTTCAATCAATCAGTTTCATCAATAAGCCCTTTGATCGCAGTACTATTAATTAGTAACGTTACGAAGTAGTTTTACGTACTCAAAGAGCCAATAGACCACCACAGACGGGGCCCTATAGGGCTGATTTCAGCCAGAGTTGCAGGGTAAGCGGCAATGAGGCACCGCGACCTCGGCCCAGAGCAGGAGAAGGAACGGAGGTTCCAGTATCAGTCTATATGTATGTGAAATTGTATGTTTGTAACCGCACCCTAGGAGTAAATCCTAGTGTAGAAAAACGTTTTTTTTTTAAAAAAAAAACGCCCTAAAATTCCTAGTGTGAGTTACAATAGACAGTTTATCTATTGATCTTTCGATAATAAATCTTATCTCTCAGATAGTATCGGTTTTTAACTATAACATTCTTTGATAGTCAAATTATTTTCACCATCGGCATCTTTTATAATATTGATAAGTTGTAATAAAAAAAAATACAATAATATTTATAACCTATGCTATGATAAGAAATTCTTAATGAGTTAGTAAGGTAAGGCCTAGTGGGAGATTTAAAAAGATTACGTCTAAATCTCACAGTCTTTCTATCAGCCGGGGTTGCGGGGTAAGCGCAATGAGGCACCGCGACCTCGGCACAGAGCAGGAGAAGGAACAGGGGGGTTTTTAGTCAGTAAGAGTCTGACACTCCCTCCTGCCCGGCCCTGGGCGGGAGAAGTCATTTGATGATTTTCCCCTCACAAAAAAAAAACAGTCTTTCTATCCCTTGCTAGCTATTCTCTCGCGGTTTCACCCGCTGTTCGACTCCATTTAATCGTAGTGTTATGTTTCATAGCCTATAGCACTCAGGAACATTGTAGCTATCTATCAGTGAAAGAATTTTGGCAATCCGACCAGCAGTTCCAAGGATTACCCCTTACATGATACAAACTTACAAATTTTACCTCTTTATAATATTAGTATAGATTTTGCAAAATAAATATTAAAACAGATATCTGATATATACTTAGTCGGGTCATAAGTTCTGTCAAAACCTTATATTTTTAATTTTCGATTACTGGCCAGAAATTCTTCGACTTATTTTAAAAATAGAACTTTCGCGCTTGTAGAAAATAAAAAAGAAATTATTTTTTATTCATTTTTAAATATGGAGTGGTCGAATAAAGAAGACAGAATCGCGGTTATCGCGTTGCACCGCTGTGGTTACGCGCCAAAAGACATTTTCAATATTCTTCAAAATTTGAAAATAACGTTACGGTTTGTTTATCGTACTATCAAACGATACACCGAAGAGTCAAGCTTCGAAGATCGTAAGAGAAGCGGCCGACCTCGCACAGTTCGGACACATAAGGTCATCAAAGCAGTGAAGGCGCGAATCGAACGAAATCCCGTACGTAAACAAAAAATCCTAGCTCTGCAGATGGGGCTAAGCAGAACCACTGTTAAAAGAGTACTAAATGAAGACCTGGGACTACGAGCTTATCGTAAAAAGACAGGACATTTTTTGAACGAGCGTTTAAAAAAAATTAGGCTAGACAGATCCCGCGCTTTGCTACGACGGTACGCGGGAAAAAAATACCGCGAAATTCTTTTTTCGGATGAAAAAATTTTTACTATTGAAGAAAGTTTTAACAAACAAAATGATAAGGTGTATGCCCACAGCAGTGAAGAAGCAAGCGCGCGTATTGCGAGGGTCCAGCGTGGGCATTACCCTTCCTCATTCATGGTTTGGCTTGGAGTCTCATATTCAGGCGTAACTGAGGTGTTTTTCTGTGAAAAAGGTGTGAGAACTAGTGCCGAAGTTTATCAAAATACTGTCCTAACAAACATAGTGGAACCTCTTTCTCAGACAATGTTCAGGAACAGGCATTGGATATTCCAACAGGACTCTGCACCGGCTCATAAGGCACGAAGTACGCAAGACTGGTTGATCGCTCGTGGAATTGACTTCATCCGGCATGAAGACTGGCCCTCTTCTAGTCCAGATTTAAACCCACTGGACTACAAGATATGGCAATATTTGGAGGAAAAAGTCTGTGCTAAACCTCACCCGAATTTGGAGTCTCTCCGAGCATCTCTGGTTAAAGCAGCGGCAGACATAGATATGAATGTGGTGCGTGCAGCGATCGATGACTGGCCGCGTAGATTAAGGGCATGTGTTCAAAATGGGGGAGGGCATTTCGAATAATGTAAATAAAATTATATTGTACATTTAATGACCTTTCATTTCATATATAATTTTTAAATAATTGTCAAAAGGCGTATAAGTTATTACATCAAAAGTTTGTGACAGAACTTATGACCCGACTAAGTATAGATATATACTAGACAACGAAATACTATAGAATAGCGCCACGAATCTAATAATACTTGGACGCAGTAGTCTACAGCGAGACGCGTTACAGTGCAGTATTAGTTTTATAGTGTGGAGTACAGTGATCCAAAGTGGGTAAGCAGGAGTGTCTGAGCGTCTAGAAAGGACAAAAATGTAAGGATATTATTATTATTATAATGTGATAGTTTTAATATTGATATCTTGTCAACTTAGCAAAGGTGTTTAACTTGACCCAGTGGTAAATGACCCTTCCCCAATCCCTCCTCAATCCCTAAATCTCCAAATCCCTAATCCCTAAAAGGTCGGTTTGATATTGATAAGTTGTAATAAAAAACATACAATAGTTATAACCTATGCTATGATAATAAATTCTTGATTAGTTATTAAGGTACGGCCTAGTGGGAGATTTAAAAAGATAACGTCCAAATCTCACAGTTTTTCTATCCCTTACTAGCTACTCTCGCGCGGATTCACCCGCTGCTCAGCTCCATTTGGTCGTAGCGTGATATTTTATAGCCTATAGCGCTCAGGAACATTGTAGCTATCTATCAGTGAAAGAATTTAGGCAATCCGACCAGCGGTTCCAAATATTACCCCCTACATATAAACTTACAAACTTACACATTTTACCTCTTTATAATATTAGTATAGATTATGTATGATTTCTTAATAATTCTAAATTTTTAAATGTCAAAACAACGACCTGTTCACGTGAAATTCCTGAGAAAAGCTCGACTAGTTTCAAGTCACAGCGGGACTCTTATTCATGCGCAGTGTGCGCGACACTGTGACAAATTTATTATGTCTCACGATTGTTACTTTTCAAAAAACCTAAGAATCTGTTTGGTGTATCCAATAGTATAATTTTGTTTTTCTGTTTTCAGGTGGCACAGAATGCCCTAGAAGTGTTGACGGCGTTAGCGGAGCGCATGGGACCGGAGTTTTCTCACTTCGTTCCCACAGTTTTACCGCATATTATTGACAGGTAACTAATAAAAACCTCCACATATCAAATTTCAGCGAAATCGTTAGGGACGATTCCGTGATCACATGCTTTTCCAAGCAATTTGCGCTACCTGCCGGGCTGATTTGTGCAGTAAAAACCATTTATTCCAACTAAACCATAAATAGGTACTTTTGAAACGTCAAAATAGAATAGTAGTCTGTCAGTCTGTTCGTCAGTGAAGCTAGGTGCTCATTCCAAATTGTAGATTCGAATGGAGAAGAACGAGCAAGAAACTCCAACTCCGTAAACAATCCAGAGCGCCACTCAAACGCATACAGAAAAAATCATTTAAATCGGCCAAGCCGTTTAGGAGGAGATAGGATATTAATAAATAACCAAGGTATTCAAATTATAATTTTCCGCGTTAAAACCCGCGTAAATATAATGTTGTTAAGATGAAACGCGAAAGTTTAAAAGTTAGGATATTAATATTAGGAAGACCTAGAGTAACTATGAGATTATTTTGATCATATTAATATATTGCGACCTTTAAGAAGACATCTCTGCCTTCCCTCCATTCAAGCGTAAAAAACAGCAATAACATGCCCTCTACATACTCATTCAAATCGTGAGGATATGACGTCACAACACAATAGCCCATTAGAAACCATTCGAGTATGTCTGGAGATTTATATGCCTATTTATTGTTTATTAAGATTTATTGATTGATTATTATTATAATCTAACTTCAATGGTAAAGGAAAAGATAGTGAGGTAACCTGGACTTTACTACTTAAATTATCTATATACATATAAAAGAAAGTGTTGTTAGTTACTACACTTATAACTCAAGATCGGCTGAACCGATTTCGCTGAAAATTCGTAGGGAGGTAGCTAATAACTGGGAGAAGGACATAGGATAGGATAGAGTAGGTAGTGTAGGTAAGGTAGAGTAGGGTAGGTAGAGTAGGGTAGGTAGAGTAAGGTAAGTAGAGTAAGGTAGGCAGTCAAATGACGGGAGCGACGCCGCAGGTAAAAGCTAGTAATTATATAAACACTTTTTATATTTAATGGTGTTGGTGATGTACAAAGTCAGATTAACCAGTGGTAAGCTATCGGCGTCGTCCACGGACGCCCGCGACACCATAGTAAGAAGAAAGAATAAGCGTTGCTGGCCTTTTGGGGATTAAACAATCTTATTACCCCATCGCCCGCAGCTCCGCCGGCGTGGATGTCGATTTTACACTTTATCTACTGTTTATTTGAAAAATTTCTCTACGTACAAGCATTTTTCTGGACTCACACGAATAATTCAAGATCAAAATTAGTCAAATCGGTCAAATCAAAATCATTTATTCCAACTAAACCATAAATAGGTACTTTTGAAACGTAAAAATAGAATAGTAGTCTGTCAGTCTGTTCGTCAGTGAAGCTAGGTGCTCGTTCCAAATTGTAGTTTCGAATGGAGAAAAACGAGCAAGAAACTCCATCGGTAAAGGAGTTGTTGTGTTATAACGTTACAACTTACAACGAAAAGTGGGATTGATTTATATAATATAGATTACTTTATTATATCATCTTCCTTCCACAGACTAGCAGACACAAAGGAAGCGGTGCGACACACGGCTCGAACCTGTGTCTCGGCACTGGGCACCTCGCGGGCGGCCAACGCACGCGGTCTCCTCGCCCGGCTCACGCCCGCCCTATCACACAAGGCGCCCCACGCCAGGGAAGAAACGTTGCGGTGTATACAGACGTTGCTTGAAAAGTTAGTACCGTTATTTCCGCTATATACTTAATATTTTTAAAGGCCCCGGTTCGCCTCGAAACTGGTCGAGGTTCTCCGAAACGAAGAGTCATATTTTTTTTCTTCTCTTTTCTTTTTTCGTGGTCATTCGAGTCCCTTTTGGATCTTATTTAAAGTCGTATAAATACGTGACCGGAAATGCTTTGGCAAGAATAGTTCAACTTGGATAAGGCCTCACAGAAAACCGGAGTGGAATAACGTTTGAGTTCTATTTTTATTTCAAACTAGCTACTCTCGCGCGTTTTCATTCGTTGCTCGGCTCCATTTAATCTTAGCGTGATGTTTTATAGCTTATAGCACACAAAAACATTGTAGCTTTCTATCAGTGAAAGAATTTTGGAAATCCGACCAGCGGTTCCAAAGATTACCCACTACATACAAACTTAAAAATTTTACCTCTTTAAATTATTTGTATAGGTGTTAACGAAACGACTTATTACCCTTCCAGCCACGGCGCTACTGAGTTACAGTTACGCGCGGCGGTGCCGAACCTCGCGGCGCTGGTGGGGGACCCCAGCGCGGCCGTCAGGGACGCCGCCATGCAATTGCTCGTCGACGTCTATCGACATGTTGGTATGTAGACATACAATGTAAGCTTTTTTGGGAGAGGGGGGGGGGGTGATCATACAATGTTACTAATATTATAAATGAGAAAGTAACGATGTTTGTATGTTTGTTACTCAATCATGCCAAAACGGCTGGACAGATCTGGGTGAAATTCGGCACAGGCATAGAATACACTCCGGAATAGGACATAGGGTACTTTTTATTAACATACCACGCTGGTGATGCCGCCGGTGGAAGTTTCACATACACACACACCCAGACCCGGAACAACAATTTGTGGATCACACAAAGATTTGTGCTGTGCGAGAATCGACCCCGCGACACTTTGCGCGGCCACCAGTGGCCCAGCTGTCTCTGTCTGATGCAGAAACTATATGGTCCTTCAGTTAAAACAATAATACAAAGCATTTTTTACTTTTTAACCATTCCAAAGAGAGATGAAAATCAATGGTTTTCTTAAAAAGTCAAAAAAGTCAAAATCATTTATTTCAAGTAGACTACAGTAGGCACTTTTGAATGTCAAGCAAAAAACAGGAATAAAGTATTAAGCGTGTCAGTCTGTCCGTCTGTCCTCTAGTGAAGCTATTTGCTCGTTCCAAAGTGTAGATTAAGTACTATGGAGAAGAACGAGCAAGAAACTCCACGGTTACTCTTTTTCAATCAGTTTTACAATACATTTCTTTGTAACAAATCGTTGTCATATTTCAGGTGAGAGATTAAGACAAGACTTGAAGAAGAAAGAGTTGCTGCCCGCACAGAAGTTCGCGCTGCTGGAACAGAAGTTTGACGAGGCTAGAGAAGCTGGACTTCTACTGCCAACCGGTGAGAAAACCCTTTTTACTTGACTATAAAAGAATTGTTTTGTTATTATTTAAGCGTGGGGAGAGCCATGCTTCGGCACTAATGGGTCGGCTCGACCGGAGTCATAGCATGGCCATAGAGAAAACCGGCGTAAAACAACCGTAGCGTTGTGTTTCGCCGTGTGAGTGAGGTTACTGGAGGCCAAATCCTTCCCCACACTTCATCATCATCGCTTATAAGTGCCCACTACTGAGCAAAGGCCTCTTCTCATACAGAGAAGGTTAGAGCATTAATCATCACGCTTGCTCAATGCGGGTTGGCGATTTCAAACTTATAATTAGAAATTATAAGTCCAGGTTTCCTCATGATGTTTACCTTCACTGTAAGTCAGTGGTGTCTAAATAATCTTAGAAAGTACATTTAACTCGGAAAAAGTCACATTGGTACTTGCCAGGTTTCGAACCTACACCCTCATGAATGAGAAGCGGGCTTCTTAACCTCCGGGCCACCACGACATTGTCCGCTATCCTTAGTTCCCTAACAACCAACCACAGACGACTCAACCTAAAGACCGCGCTTTGCCAGGCAAATGCATTCGCCAAGGTTAGGCAGTGATACTGCATAGGAGCCGGCCCCACCCCTTTCTGTTTCTCATTCCGTCGCCGAGAGTCAAAGCGAAACAATTGTCAATTTTGACGTGTCCTTAAACGAGCCAATGAAAACTAGACTACAAAAGGCTGGCAATGCACTCGTACTCTCTAGTGTTGCGAATCTTCATGGTCGGTGCCATTTGTTTACCATCAGGTGATCTGTGTACTATAGTCAGAATTTTAGTTCGATTCCTGATTTGACATGACCTACTGTCACTTTGTGAAATAATGATACCACATATAAGAGTGTAGTGATGAACACAAAAATCGATAAACAGTCAGTGAATCAGTTTAAAGGAAAGCATTCAAAAAATTACGGCTACCGAAAGGTCTAAATTCGTATCCCACGTTGTTAAAGAAGAGGAAAAAATGAGTAAGCTAGATATGTCAATTGACAATAAATACCACAGACACAATTTGTAATAAATGTTACAGAATGTAACAACGATGACGGCGACAATTTATAAAATGTCTGTTTTATTTGTCATGGTCCTTCATGATCACATTTTTTATTAATTTCACACACAATTACGAAAGAAAAGTCTCATATCGTTAATTAATTGTCAAAACTAAATTATCGGTTCAGAAATATTTAATTTCCTGATAAACTTATTTTACGAGAGTAAATTTATAAACGATAGGAATCGATTCAGAAATATTCGATTTCCGTATCGAATAATTTCGCAACGTCACTATTTACTACGTGTCATAACGTTATCACTGAAATTGTCAAATCTGGAATGGAATTAAAATTCCGAGTATAGTTGGACGACCGACTTTATAATAATGAAATACCTTGAACGCACCTAACATTAACAATAAACCGTCTCCACAGCGACAGCGGGAGCGGACGAACCAGACTTCATATCCCGGACGGTAAAAAGGACAATGACCATACCTACGTCGGCGCGGTCCCGCGACGGTGACAGCTCCGGAGCCTCCACGCCAGGTAATTGAACCTGCTACCCTTTTATCGTCAATCGGTATAGGTAAAAGTGCTGATTTTTCAATAGTCAGATAAAAGTTATCAAAGTCAAAGTCAAAATCATTTATTCCAACTAAACCATAAATAGTTACTTTTGAAACGTCAAAATAGAGAAGTAGTCTGTCAGTCTGTTCGTCAGTGAAGCTAGGTGCTCATTCCAAATTGTAGATTCGAATGGAGAGAGGAATAAAATTGTTGCTGTCACTGTCTTATACAAACAGTGTGACGCGACAGCATCATAATTATTCCCCAGCTAACTTTTATCTAACCATTAAAAAATCAGCGTCAGAATGTTTGTATAAGCCAGTGACAGCAAAAATTTTATTCCTCAGATAACATTTATCTGACTATTGAAAAATGTAGAAAATGGTTTGCTCTAAATTATCATATCAGAAAGTCTAAATAAAGTACCAAATGTTAACATTCACAACACATTATAACAATCACATAAATTATTATCGAATCAATTAAAACCTTCTTCAACATAATATTCACATGGATCTTCCCATGGGTTCCCATTATCACAATGGTGTCTCTATCACCGTAACTTTTTATTTAGAAACATACAATAATTATGGAGTTTAAACTTATAATATCACCATTTTAATTTTATACTGCCAGTAAAATGAGGGTTAAGAATTTCTGATCTGTGAATCTTTTATGGTGACTATGGTGTAGAATAGAATAGAATAGAATAGAATTAGAATAGAATTTTATTTCCTTTTGAGATACAGTATACCAATACAAAATTACATTTTTACCAGCTAAGGAACAATTTTACTTATTCTGTAAGTTTTTATTAACACTGTTTATTAGGTAAAAAGTAACAGGAATACATACTTAACTACCTAATAATTATCAGTCAACACTATCTTGTGGCAATATATCATCGCAATTATGTAATTTACTTAGTATAACACTAACAGAAGGAATAATAAATGTCCATTGACGGTATACATGAAAAAAATTCTTGACCTCCCGTGCTAGTCAAAAACTGTGTTACGGCAAGGTAAATAGACAATATCTCTTCCTGAAGCCAATAAGGTACCGGCTTCGGCCTAAAGCAGGAGAAGGAACGAGGGGGTTTTAGTCAGTTAGAGTCTGACACTCCCTCTCGTCTCATTCTGGGCAAGAGAGAAGTCATTTGATAATTTTCCTCCCTGAAATAAAACCTCTTCCTGGTGTTGTTACTTACTAGGATTTTCTCCTGTGTCGTAGTTGCGTTTACAAACGTATTCAAATACACATCACACCCAGATCCGAAACATTTTGTGGATCACACAAATAGTTGTTCCGTGCGGGAATCGAACTCGCGACACGTTGCGCGGCAGCACGACGAAAACACTGCTTAAAGGCTTGACTGAACGCTGGTTCAGTCAAGCCTTTAAGCAGTGTCAGCAGCGGGTCAGCAGTGTTGCCCGCTGCTGACCCGCTGGAAGAAAAGAAGTGGTCAACAGTCATCAATGATAATATATCTACTCTACAAAAAACAGAAAAATATCTCATAATATTGGCAGTATAAAATAATACATCATTCTTAAACTTGAACTAATTCTTTCTTCATAACTAACAACTCGTACGGCGCGTAGCTTGCGAGGCACCGAAGCGTACGGTTCCCGGCCTGTACAGTCTACCTTCGGCAAGTAGGAAGCCCCCGCCTGCCAAGGTGACCAGCACTGCGAGTGGTAAGATTATCATTCATTACTAATAATTTATTAGAGACCAGATTTCTATATGACGACATAAATGGGTTTTCATCGACATTTTCCATTGTCTGAATACGCTATGGGCGATCGTTGCGTGAGTCGGTTAAATGAGCAAAACGTAAATCCACGAAATCACTGTATATTAACAATAATTAGTTCACAAAAATGGCTTCCAGAACGCGAGACAGTTTCTAAGCGTGCGTGTTGTCATCTTGGCGTCGGTCGAACATAGACTATTATATACGACATATTTAAATACGGCTAGTATTTAAATAGCGCGCGCAGCATAGACTCCGTCGAGCCCCACCCGATGCCCGATGCCGACATATATAATAAACACTAAAAAAGCTGTTTATAAAAATTTAAGAAAAAGTATTAAATTATGTATACTAGGGTCTAAAATGTCAGCTAGTGCTTATCATCACCAATCATGCACCGCGGCTTCAGCCTAGAGCAGGAGAAGGAACGGAGGGGTGTTTTTAGTCACTAAGAGTGACACTCATATGTGAATTTAGTTAGTCCCTTGAAAAAATGGAGTCTGAAATGTATATGTATAACGCACCTCCCTACAATAAGTGTACATAACAAATTTTTTCGACTGAAAATCTATACTTCTATACTAATATTATAAAGAGGTAAAATTTGTAAGTTTGTATGTAGGGGGTAATCTTTGGAACCGCTGGTCGGATTGCCAAAATTCTTTCACTGATAGATAGCTACAATGTTCCTTAGTGCTATAGGTTATAAAACGTCACGCTACGATCTGTAGGAGCCGAGCAGCGGGTGAAACCGCGCGAGAGTAGCTAGTAAATACTAAAAAAGCTCAAATCTTTATAAATATGGGCGAAAATGCATTTGTGTTATTTGTATAGGGTTACTGGTAATTAGTGAAGAATATAATTAAACATATGATAGTACTTATGATAACAAATAACGTTCCCAAAGAAAGATTGACGAACTGAAGTCAATGATATTAATTCACCAAATCCCAAGCGAACGCCGGCGTTCGCGCACGTATTGTTCTTCTGTTGTGTCTGGAATTACCACCATTGAAAGATTATCACCCGGTTTCTGAAAGACCGATTAATGTTAAAATCAATTTAATCTCTTGTCAAGTCATCTGATTGGTTGACTGAATTATCAACAACCAATCAGATGACTTGACAAGAGATTTAACAGGAGATTAGTTAATTTTAGCGTTGACAAGCCTTTCAGAAACCGGGTGTAAGTAATCTTTATATTATATTATATAATTATATATTTCTGGAGTGGAATGTGTTTAGAATTGCATTGTTCTGTGCTCTTGGAATATTCAAACTCGTGTTTTGATCATATCCAAATATCTATTTTGCCAAAAATCTGGTCTCTAGTACTAAATAAATAATTTTTATTAATTTTCTTTACCATTCATTTACTAAGTTGTCATTTTACATTTTATATTTGTATAAGGACTTCGTTTCTGACTTTAAATATTCGCGTATCCAAGTTATGAGATTGTATTTCAGTATTTTGTGTACCTGTTTTTGTTTATCATCAAGTTTGAATAGATTATTACAAGTATAAAAAATTTAGTTTCTTAGTTCGAAAATAATTAATTTTAACTTTTCAACACAGTGATTTACTATAATGTTATCATAGTTTCATTCATTGTTTTGACAATATACTTCATTATAGTTTTGTTTTTAAGTAATAACTTTATACGTTATTTGACGTGAAAACATTATGACTTCATATGTTGCGATTTTAGAAAGGAAGAAAGAAAATTACTTATATTCACGAGTAGCGTTGCCAGGCGTCGGGATAGAGCCGGACATAGGTACGCTTTTTGATTGCTAGTCCGGCCAAAATAATCGGTGTCCGGCCTGCTTTTGTTAGGCTTTTTACCTAAACTTTTCACTATCGCAAACGAGTGAAACGAAACACCGAACATGGCTGGAGCGAAGCAAAGACTAACACCCGGTTTCTGAAAGGCTTGTCAACGCTAAAATTAACGAATCTCCTGTTAAATCTCATGTCAAGTCATCTGACTGGTTGTTGATAATTCAGTCAACCAATCAGATGACTTGACAAGAGATTAAATTGATTTTAACATTGATCGGCCTTTCGGAAACCGGGGGTTAGACTTATTAATTATTTCATAAGAATTCAACAAGATTTATGTCAATAATCAAAAATGCTTGATTTACATTAAATCTTGTCGTTGATTTATATTAAACCTATTAATACTGAGATACAAAATCCTTAAGAATGTAGGGTGTCCGGCCTTTTTAGCCAAATGTCCGGCTTAACGGGCTGGTCTGTCCGGCTATAAGGCCTGGCGATCTGGCAACCCTATTCTCGTGTATGACACATAGACAAACATAAAACTATAGTAAACACTGAGAAGTACAGTAGTAGTATACATTTCATAGAAAATTTATAGTAAAGTATCATTTTGGATATTTCAAATATGTAATAGTATTGAATTCGGACTAGTTGAAAACTACAGTAGGTAATATAGTTTTAAGAAATCTAGAATTTTCTTTACATCTTCTATTTGATAGACAACATTAGTCGCCTTTGTACCTTCTGCTAGTAGTATAATTGGGTAATTTCCTAGGTCAAAAATAAATTAATTCGGCGTTTCAATACAATAAAATATTGAACAATAACTATACTTTTTTCATCGATCGATCGATACACTGAGTTTTAGATATTTTGTAGCTAATTATTAATAAATAAGTAAGCTATTTGACGCAACGGTACTATGACTTCATAACTCAGTGTTTAATACAAATTTCATGAAAAGTATCGTTTTTGACATTTGGATAAAAGTATTGAATTTTACTTGTTGGAAACTACCGAATTATCATGTGCGTATCCGAACGTAACACAGGTACAGACGTTGTGTTCTTTTTGTCATCCTAAGATGTAATTTATTTGTAGTTAATCTTTACTAATATTATAAAGAGGTAATTTGTAAGTTTGTATGTAGGGGGTAATCTTTGGAATCGCTGGTCAAATTGCCAAAATTCTTTCACTGATAGATAGCTATAATATTCCTGAGTGCTATAGGCTATAAAACATCACGCTACGATTAAATGGAGCCGAGCAGCGAGTGAAACTGCGAGAGAGTAGCTAGTACTAATATATGTATAGTGTGTTTCCTAGCATTAGTTGTTTCATTCAATTAAGAAATACAACGCTACTTTTTTAATTTCTGTATTCGCATGTCACATTTTCGTATAGTGAAGGTACAATAAAGATTTATTTTATTTTATTTTATCAATATCTTCTCTAACCTAGTATTATTATCTTATCCCCCCCAGTATCGAGCTCGGCCCACAGCGCCGGGCTGAGCGAGTCTGGCGCGGGCGCGGTGTCGTCGGAGGCGTTCGAGGCGGCGTTCCTGTCGTCGGCGCCGGCCGCCGTGTACGGGCCGCGCGGGCTCGACGACCTCTGTCGCCACGCCGCCGCCCTGCTCGGGGACCGCGCCGCCGACTGGGAGAAACGTGTCGATGCTGTAAGTCTCTTTTCGCACACACACACAGACACACACAGACACACACAGACACACACACACAGAGACACACACACAGAGACACACACACAGAAACACACACACACACACATCTTTATATCGACAAACTAAAGACACACTGAACCGCGCCGTATTTTATTATTATTTTTCTCCTTTTTTTCTCGTTCTTTATGTTCTTTCTTTCGTACTAACTACCCGTCTAATACGTAATATTTAAATATATATTTTTTTTTTGTTTGATTCTATTTTGTGTCATTTTCTTGTTAATTTGTATTCTGTACCCACTTGTTTTTTAATTAATTTGTGTCTTTATTGTTTGTGCTGAATAAATGTGTTATCTATCTATCTATCTATCTATCTATCTATCTATATATAAAAAATGGATCGCAAAATATGTGGTAAGCGCATAACTCGACAACGCCTGGACCAATTTTGCTAATTCTTTTTTTGTTGTGTCTGTTATTGTCAGGAGAAGGTTCTTAGGAAAAAGTGACACTTTGATAGCGAGACAGTTGGACCGTGTGAAGCGGGGGCGGGCCGCTAGTCTTCTTATATATAAAAATAGATCGCAAAATGTGTTGGTAAGCGCATAACTCAAAAACGCCTGTACCAATTCTACTGATTCTTTTGTTGTGTGTGTTATTGTCAGGAGAATGTTCGTATGAAAGAAATTTTTAGAAAAGTAGAGGGGGGAGTTTATTTATAGAGACCCGTGCGAAGCAGGGGCGAGATAATCAATACCACGTTTCGTTGTAATGTTATAACTCAACAATGCCTTTACCGATTTGGCTAATTTTGATCTTGATTCGTGGAAGTCCAGGGAAGGTTTAAAATGTCAGAAAACTTAAGTTAATTTTGAAGCGGAACGAAGTTTGCTAGGTCAGCTAGTATAATATAATACTAACTTTTTTTTATTCTATTTTTTTTAAACGGCTTTCCAATATAGACATCTGAAACCCTTATCCCTAAGAGGTCGGTAATGCACTTGGCAACGTTGCGGATGCCCACCATCAGATGATCTGTCTAGAAAAAATCAGATAATCTGTCTCCCCGTTTGTCGATCTATATCATAAAAAAAGAATGGAGAAGTAGTAAACGTTGTCTAACCACCAACCATCAAACGAGTGAAACAAATTTATAAAAACATGGCCTACACTAGTTTGCTACCCTGTGTCGTGGGTGCGTTTACAAACATACAATTACACATACACATGACACCTAGACCCAGAACAACAATTTGTGGATCACACAAAGAGTTGTTCCCAGTTGCCCAGCCATCGCACCTTTTTTTTTTGAGGGGAAAATCATATGACTTCTTCCGCCCAGAGCCGGGCGGGAGGGAGTGTCAAACTCTTACTGACTAAAAACCCCCCGTTCCTTCTCCTGCTCTGTGCCGAGGTCGCGGTGCCTCATTGCGCTTACCCCTCCACCCCGGCTGAACATCAGCCCTATAGGGCCCCGTCTGTGGTGGTCTATTGGCTCTTTGAGGCACGCGCGGAACGCTACGCGCCGTACGCTCGGGTGTGGTCTGGTCGGGCGGCGAGCTGTTCTTACTCGCCGACCGCAGACCCGATCGCACCAACCTTGCAGTCCTAATTCTAATATACTTAATATTATTTCCACAGCTAAAGAAGATTCGTTCGCTGCTAACGGCTAACGCGCATCAGCAGTACCCGACAGAGTTCGCGGCGCATCTCAAGGACCTTTCCGTACCGTTCCTAGTCGTCATCAAGGATCTGAGGAGTCAGGTTAGTTGAGAACATTCCTAAACACTATTTAGTGTGGGAGAGCCATGCTTCGGCACGAATGGGTCGGCTCGACCGGAGTGATACCACTGCCTCACAGAAAACCGACGTGAAACAACCACAGCGTTGTGTTTCGCCGTGTGGGTGAGATTACCGGATGCCCAATCCTTCCCCTCCCTCATTCCCAAAATCTCCAAATCTCTAATCCGCTATTGCGGGTGACTATGTACGTCAATGATGGCTTACCATCGGGTAATTCGTCTGTGCGGTCCTATGATATAAAAAAATACATAATACTTTTATTAAATACATTCAAACAAAAGCTATTAATAAAGAAAGAAAAGAATAAAACACAATTGTTTGACGTTCAAAAGTCCCTGTAAAGGTCTAATTGGAATAAATGACTTTTGACACAGCAAATAAATTGCTAGTTTTAAAACGCAGCAAGCTTTCCGGCCTAACGCTTTAAGTGAAACAATGTAACAATGAATTTATTCTTGCGAATAGGCCATAAAACGGCTGTTTTACACGTCAATTTATATGTGAAAAACTAGATGAAGCCGGCATTTCCTATCTGACTACTCTGAGAAGAAATGCCTAAAACAAACTCAGAGGTCAGTCTCTTTTCAAGTCCAGACAATGTAAAATAATATAATGTGAGAGAACCGTGCAAGTTCATTCTGTAGTGGTATTTTGATGAAAGAACCACACCAGTTTAAGCGGACCCGTTCTAAAGACAGGCACGCAAGTGTCAGTTTGCAACCAGTATAGCTAGTGCTGCTGAGTTGTCCGACGAACAATACCGATCTAAAGAACATTTGGGTGGGTCGCGCAAGTACTCAAACTGTCAGAACGCAGATAACTGGTAGTCAAAAAGCGCGGCAAGCTCACACGGAGTTAGTGGTTAACTAAAAGCAAACAATCTTGGTGACAACACTAATATATGTATTTATTTTTCCCCGCAGGTGGTCCGCGAGGCGTGCATAACGATAGCCCACATGGCCAAAGTGCTACGCAACAAGATCGACCAGTTCAGTCTCTACATACTTCAAGAACTAATTAACCTCATACAGAACGCTGCCAAGGTTAGAACTCAGATTTTTTTAAATATTGAGATTGGATTTTCTCCTGTGTCGTTTACAAACATACAAGTTCACATACACATGACACTCAGACCCGGAATAATAATTTGTGGATTACAAAAAGAGTGTTTTAACCATGGGCGAGAGAAGTCATTGATGACGGTCCCTCTAAAACAAAAAAAAAAACACAGCTCAGCTTTGGCCGGGGCATGCGGGGGTAAATTTTCAGAGTACTCAAAGCTCATAAATAAATTCCAACAATCAAGAATAAGCGTAAAACTGTTACAGTGAAACCATAATTCGGTAGTTTCCAACTAGTCAAAATCAATATTCTTATTGAAATGTCAAAAATAATATACTTTCCTATGTATTTTGCATTTGATCGCAACAAAATTGTGTTATAATGTTTTTATGCATAACAACATACAAAAGTTAACTAGAAAAAAATTAGTCATGTTACTTGTGAAATCAATAATTAAAAGTATTATGATTATATTTAAAAAAAAAAACATTTTAAATTTACCATGCATGAGGGTTCGAAACCTGACAATTACCAATGTGACTTTTTCCGAGTTATATATACTTTCTATGATTATTTAGACACCACTGACATACGGTGAAGGTAAACGGGTGATTCTTCACATCAATTAAAAAAAAAATTATAATGTCATTATCCTCAACCAAAAATTAACGAGTCTGCTGATTAAAACACAGATAATTATTTTATTAAATTAAATCTCACCACTGCTTACAAGCAACCGATTAAAAATATTGTATAAAATAAATTACTAAGATGCTTAAAAACCTGGGAGGATAATGACTTGTTAAATAAAAGTTAAGGTTTTTTGGAGAATCACCCAAACATCGTGATGAAACCTCGACTTATAATTTCTAATTATAAGTTTGAGTGATGACCACACTTGGTGAAGAATGCTCAAACTTTTCTTCACGCGTGAGAAGAGGCCTTTGCTCAACAATGGGCACTTATAGGCTGATGATGATGATAAAAAATAATATTTATATACATTTGCCAGGTTGTATCGTCAGCGGGGACAGTATGCGTGCGGTACATAGTAACGTATGTGCATTCGCCCCGACTGCTTCCAGTCATCGTTACAAACCTTACCACCAACAAGTCCAAGGAGATACGGTCCACGCTCAGGTAAATAAATAATTTCTATTTTACAAGCTTTTATTATAACTTAGGTCTGATTCTTCAATAGACTGATAAATGTTATCTGATTAATAAAGTTGTTGCTGTCACTGTCTTATACAAACATTCTGACGCGACAGCATTATAATTATTCCCCAGGTAACTTTTATCTAACTATTAAAAAAGTAGCCCTTATTATATAATACATTATTTACATTATTGAAATTGTAAAGCAAATATTATTTTTTTAAAGAATAACGTTGGAGTTTCTTGCTCGTTCTCCTCCATTCGAATCTACAATTTGGAACGAGCACCAAGCTTCACTGATGAAGATACTAACAGAAGAATATTTTATTTTGGCGTTTCAATTTTGAATTTGACTTTGCTATTATATATTTTTTTAATTCTTGCCCCACACTAGGATTTTTTCCTGTGTCGTGGGTGCGTTTACAAACATACAAACATACACATCACGCCTAGACTAGGAACAACAATTTGTGGATCACACAAAGAGTTGTTCCGTGCGGGAACCGAACCCGCGACACGTTGCGCGGTTGCCCAGCCACCGTACCGTGTTGTCATGTGTGTTGTGTAACGAAATACAAAAAATTCATTAGGTGAAAACTAACTGAATTATTATCTGATGGTAAGCACTTAGTGACGCTCAAGGACAAGCGCAACACCAATGGAGTTAAGAGTTCGTTACCAGCCTTTTGGAGATTAGGGTTTCGGAGATTTAGTGATTGGGAGAGCACGGCGAAACATAACGCCAGTTTTCTGAGAGGCCGTGGAATCACTCCCGTAATTTCGATACATTCGTGCTGAAGCATGGTCCTTTTAGCGCTTAAATGTTTCTGAAGTTGAAACAAACTCACTTTTGACGAAGCATGCCTGCATGTGATAGTAGTTTCAAACATTTTATATCTTTCACTATTTATATTCCGTTTGCAGTGAGGTCCTAGTACTGATGCTGGAGAAATGGCCAGCGTCGACTATAGAGAAGCAGCAGGCGGCAGTTCGGGACGCTATACGCAGGGCCTGCGTCGACGCCGACAGTACGTGCAGGACTTATGGACGGAGGTACTTTTTTTTATACATTCTCTTCTACCTAAGACTGTTTTACTCTATGTTTTTTTATGTGATGGGCAAATGATTACCTGAAGGTAAGCATTTAGCGCCGTCCGTCCTCCAACAGAGGACCTAGGAGTGCGTTACCAACCTTTTGGGTATTAGGGATTGGGGGAGGGGAAGGATTGGGCCTCTGGTAACCTCACGCACACGGCGAAACAACGCTGCGGTTGTTTCACGCCGGTTTTCTGTGAGGCCGGGGTATCGCTCCGGTCGAGCCATTCGTGAAGCATGACTCCCACAGTTGCTTTAAATAGCTATGTGTATAATGCGTAGCTTAAAATATTCAATTTTATTAAAGAAGTTTCTACCATATCTAGTCTGCTATAATATAAAACACTAGCATAAAATAAAGTATCAAAATAATGTTATAATTTTTACACAGAGCATACGCGGCGTACAAGCGCCACTTCCCCGAGGACGCGGAGCAGTTGTTCGCCCGACTGGACTCGGCCGCGCAGAAACAGATCGAGCGGGAACGGAACATTGGCAGTCTCGACAGTCTACATCATGTCGGCACTGGTGAGGACTTGCTTATATCTTTACTCCCTCTGCTTTGAGCGGATTTCCTGTATTGATAATTTTTGGCAAACTTACCAAAATGGCAAACTGCAGTAGGCACTTATAGGTTGCTGTCAGTGCCCACTGCTGATTAAAGACCCCTTCTCACACAGAGAAGGCTAGAGCATTAATAATTCAAGGCTAATTGGTGATTTCGAAACCGATAATTATATTAAAAAGCCCAAAACAGACAAATATTTTTTTCCAATTCAATTCAAGTATTGATTAATATTCTTACAAGTTTTGTTTTCTTTACAGAAAGAAGAGTTATAACAAGTCCCAGAAGTCCATCGGCCAGTGTATCAGGTCAGTATCTAACAATCATTAATGACTAAAACACCCATTTTTTAGAGTTGATCCAGAAAGGGCGATTTCGCCGCCAAAAGTTTCCGGCAAACATTTCGCGAACTCTAAATACGCGCGTAAATCGCGTTCATTACGAACTCTCGACTCGCGACTCGAGGTACTACACTCGGAATTTTAATTCGATTCCAGATTTGACAATTTCAGTATTGCAACGTTATGACAAGTACGAAATTATTCGATATGGAAAATGGAATATTTCTGAATCGATTCCTCTCGTAAACTAAGTTTATCAGGAAATTAAATATTTCTGAACCGATAATTTAGTATTATTATGATTAATTCACGATCTGAGACTCTTTTTATAATTGTGTGTGAAATAAATAAAAAAATGTGATCGTGAAGGAACATGAAAAATAAAACAGATAGATGTATTATGGTAATAACATCGATCACTAATAAAGAACTAGATACACAATCCCATACAAAAGTTCGCTTCAAAACTGTCGCCAACTGTATTTAGGTACTTATACTTGAAATAAACATGCATTAATGTAAATTACACCTTAAATGCAACTCATAGAGTTGTTTTCACAAAGTGATATACAAAATCTAAACATTTTTTGCATAAATCATAAGAAATTGAACCATATTCGCATGTTTTTAAGTCGAATTTACAATGTGTCAAAAATGAGCAATAAAATTTAACGACTTCGGCTCACCGCTAGGACAAAGAATGATTGGAGTCGAAATGTCTCGTAAGAAATACAGTTCTTTCAAATTTTTCTTGATAATTTATAAAAAAAAAAAAATACGAAAATTAAAACGCATTACTTATAGTATTCTTTTCTATAGGTTTGTTCATTTATTTACCAATGAAACTAATGCATATAGTTATAATTTTTATTTATAATTTTCGTCCTCCTTAATCCTTCCTAAATTTAGTTAAATAATTAGTAAAAGTGAAATAAAAAAGATGTAAAATAATAAAAAGAATATATATCTAAAGCAAGTACTGAAAATGTTCTCGTTATTGTTGTAAATTTTTCATATCGCACTGGATTTTGATGATAGCTAAAAAAAAAGTCTTTACTGCAGTTAAAATTAAATCCATTATATCTGCCTATTCCATATTTTAATAAACACAGTAAAGAAGTATAATAGTAAATAAAAACTATTTTTTAATAAAAAAAAACAATAAATAAAATTAGAAACAAGAAACAATAGCGTCTCCACTAAACGGAACAGAATCAATCCACGTAAACCGAACAACTTAAGTGGTCATGCTAGAGAATGATTTTACGTTTAGTATAAGTGTCTTTATAAACTGTGTGCATTATAACCCCGGTTTTTGAATACGATTTCATTTGGAAAAAGATTTAAAGTTAATTTCTTAATAAAATATCAATATTTAAAATAGAATGATGACAATTATATAATGATAATATTATTACTTAACGAAAATATGAAATTCCATCTTTTTTTGCGTCTTAGATGTGTGTTTTTTTGCAGTTTTTAAACGAGCACTGAGACGTGTTTACCGTCGGAGCATTCGAGTGGTACTAAACTAAAACTACACCGCGATGTTGAGTTTGGTGGACTTTCAGTTAGGACAGTCACTGATTGTGTATCTAGTTCTTTATTAGTGATCGATGGGTAATAATGGATAAATTGTCGCCATAACTATTATTATAAATGTGTCAGTGATATTGACAATTATCATAATTATCTAGCCTACTTTTTCCGGTTCTTGGCAAAATGGGATATGCATTTAGACCATTCGGTAGCTGTCATTTTTTCAATGCCTTCCTGAAATAAATTTCTCATAAATTAATTGATAATTTTATTGGTATCATTATTTCAAATTTATTATTAAAATTAATGTTTAATCTGGAATCGAATTAAAATTCTGACTATAGGAAAATTCGACATCTATTCATCCCTTTTGTGTATTTATTCATCCCGTTTTACTACGGAATTGTTTATAGACGAAATAAAAAAACGGTCGGCGGATATGGGATTTGGAATCACCTGATTGTGCCGACAAAATTTAAATTCCCAATTGCCCAAATGCTTTTTCTGGGCGAAATGATCGCGCGTGATACGCACGAGATAGATGATCGAATTCGCTCCTTCTGGACAAGCTCTTAAGGTGCATTAATTTATAAAGAGCATATTATTCAATTCTCATAGAAAATCCTCTTGTGTGTTCAATTTATTATTCTGGTCCTAGTTGTGTTTTTTTTAATCTTTATACGTTACTTACTAAACCAAAAATCTTTTCAAACGCTGCCTGGATACTGGTAACTATATATATATACATACTTACATAAATACAAACTCCAGCGTCGACAGAGAATTTAGTGTCGGGCGTGAATAGGTCGGGGTCTCTGCGCAGGCGCCGCGCCTCGCATGAAAGACCTCCCGTATCGCATATACCTGTAGCCATGGGCAGAGATGGTACATAATTATGCTTCTTTTTTATAGATGATAGGTCGGCAAATGGATTACCTGATGGTAAGCAATCAGCGTCGCCCATGGACACCACGGCATCAATTTAGGAGTAACGAGTGCGTTGCCGACCTTTTATGGATTAGGGATTTTGGGATTGGGGAAGGATTGGGCCGTAACCTCACTCACACAAAGCTGTGGTTATTTAACTCCGGTTTTCTGTAAGGCCGTGGTATCACTCCACTCGAGCCGACCCATCCGTGCCGAAGCTTGGCTCTCCCACACTTCACATTCATTACCCAGTTTATTCTATCATTTTTGCTTGAAGTTGAACTGAAAAGTGTGACATTAGTTTTACTGACATTTACTTTAAGATAGTTTACTCTGAAACAGTTGTCAAACGTGCTTGAGGTTTAATTCACAGTTATATTTAAATTATTTAAATCGTCAGCAAAAACTCTAGCTGGGTAGTTTCTGTAACCAAATCGTAATAAGATCGCTAATAAAAATAATGAAAAATGTGAGTCCCAATATGAAGCCTTGTGGTACACCAATTTGAACTAGAACCAATTTGGATCTAGTGGAATTCTTAGAATGAACTAGTATCTCTACTATTGCTACTATTTAATGGATCTATTTTATTAGCCATTACTTTCATTTCCACAAATATCTTCTTTTACGCTCGTCAAGTACGATTTTAGAAGTTCTAAAGCTTTATCCCTCGCACCGTAGTGTTCGAGTTTATCAATTAGTATTTTGAAGTCTACTGTGTCAAAAGCTGAGCTTAAATCTAGGAAAAGCCCGGCTACTGTTTGTTTGTCGTTTCACCTGTTTATTTTTGGGGTTTCCTACCTGACTTCTCTGAAAAGAAAAACATAATTTTGACGTGAAGGTGGTGACGTGGTTTTATGGCCTATTATTTGCATAAATAAATTGCGCTTCATTGTTAATAAAGTGAACGTGTTTGTTCCCCAGCGGAGCGTGCGGTAGGCCCCGCGGCGCGCTCGGTGTCAGCGCTGGACGCCGCCGCCGCCCAGCGGGCGCGCGCCCGGGCACTCTACTCCTCCATGGGGAGGCACAAGGTCCCCCCCACCGCCAGCCTGCGTGAGTACTCGTACATCTACCCCCTCTACTCCTCCATGGGGAGGCACAAGGTCCCCCCCACCGCCAGCCTGCGTGAGTACTCGTACATCTACCCCCTCTACTCCTCCATGGGGAGGCACAAGGTGTCCCCCACCGCCAGCCTGCGTGAGTACTCGTACATCTACCCCCTCTACTCCTCCATGGGGAGGCACAAGGTGTCCCCCACCGCCAGCCTGCGTGAGTACTCGTACATCTACCCCCTCTACTCCTCCATGGGGAGGCACAAGGTGTCCCCCACCGCCAGCCTGCGTGAGTACTCGTACATCTACCCCCTCTACTCCTCCATGGGGAGGCACAAGGTGTCCCCCACCGCCAGCCTGCGTGAGTACTCGTACATCTACCCCCTCTACTCCTCCATGGGGAGGCACAAGGTGTCCCCCACCGCCAGCCTGCGTGAGTACTCGTACATCTACCCCCTCTACTCCTCCATGGGGAGGCACAAGGTGTCCCCCACCGCCAGCCTGCGTGAGTACTCGTACATCTACCCCCTCTACTCCTCCATGGGGAGGCACAAGGTGTCCCCCACCGCCAGCCTGCGTAAGTACTCGTACATCTACCCCCCTACTCCTCCATGGGGAGGCACAAGGTCCCCCCCACCGCCAGCCTGCGTGAGTACTCGTACATCTACCCCCTCTACTCCTCCATGGGGAGGCACAAGGTGTCCCCCACCGCCAGCCTGCGTAAGTACTCGTACATCTACCCCCCTACTCCTCCATGGGGAGGCACAAGGTCCCCCCCACCGCCAGCCTGCGTGAGTACTCGTACATCTACCCCCTCTACTCCTCCATGGGGAGGCACAAGGTCCCCCCCACCGCCAGCCTGCGTGAGTACTCGTACATCTACCCCTCTACTCCTCCATGGGGAGGCACAAGGTGTCCCCCACCGCCAGCCTGCGTGAGTACTCGTACATCTACCCCCTCTACTCCTCCATGGGGAGGCACAAGGTGTCCCCCACCGCCAGCCTGCGTGAGTACTCGTACATCTACCCCCTCTACTCCTCCATGGGGAGGCACAAGGTGTCCCCCACCGCCAGCCTGCGTGAGTACTCGTACATCTACCCCCTCTACTCCTCCATGGGGAGGCACAAGGTGTCCCCCACCGCCAGCCTGCGTGAGTACTCGTACATCTACCCCCTCTACTCCTCCATGGGGAGGCACAAGGTGTCCCCCACCGCCAGCCTGCGTGAGTACTCGTACATCTACCCCCTCTACTCCTCCATGGGGAGGCACAAGGTCCCCCCCACCGCCAGCCTGCGTGAGTACTCGTACATCTACCCCCTCTACTCCTCCATGGGGAGGCACAAGGTGTCCCCCACCGCCAGCCTGCGTGAGTACTCGTACATCTACCCCCTCTACTCCTCCATGGGGAGGCACAAGGTGTCCCCCACCGCCAGCCTGCGTAAGTACTCGTACATCTACCCCCCTACTCCTCCATGGGGAGGCACAAGGTCCCCCCCACCGCCAGCCTGCGTGAGTACTCGTACATCTACCCCCTCTACTCCTCCATGGGGAGGCACAAGGTGTCCCCCACCGCCAGCCTGCGTGAGTACTCGTACATCTACCCCCTCTACTCCTCCATGGGGAGGCACAAGGTGTCCCCCACCGCCAGCCTGCGTGAGTACTCGTACATCTACCCCCTCTACTCCGCCATGGGGAGGCACAAGGTGTCCCCCACCGCCAGCCTGCGTGAGTACTCGTACATCTACCCCCTCTACTCCTCCATGGGGAGGCACAAGGTGTCCCCCACCGCCAGCCTGCGTGAGTACTCGTACATCTACCCCCTCTACTCCTCCATGGGGAGGCACAAGGTGTCCCCCACCGCCAGCCTGCGTGAGTTCTCATACATCTCACTCTTACACGCCCTGTCTACACCCCCACTCCCCCAAGTCCAAGCCAATAAACAAAGATCTAAAAATCTTAGGAAACTAATACAAATATTACTTTATAAAAATGTGTGTTTACTTTCAATACTAGTGAATATCCTAAAAAAGAAAGGGACCAATTCTCAGCTGTGGAGGAGTACCCATTCCTCCAGAGAAAAATCCTCCTCTCACAAAAAACTTAGTTAAATATTGACTAGGTATTTGTCCCCACGATAGCCCAAGGCAGGCTGACTAAATAAAAAATTTATTGCTTGTTTTCACTGTACCTAATTTATACCTAATTGTAAGTGCATATTTCCTCACATTTTCTACCATATTATTAATCTTACAAAGTACATATAATTCGGTAAACGTAATATGGGTGTTAATTAAAACAAACTTTTTCTCTCATAAAAGTTAATGATTTTTCTGCATGCCATATACCTAAGCTTAGTTTCCATATCAACTAGTGTTTGGTTTTATATCGGGTAATAAGTAGAAAAATTTCATGTTTCTTACTCTCAAAGTCTAAAGCAAAATCATTTATTCCAACTAAATCATAAATAGATACTTTTGAAACCATTAAATAGAATAATAGTCAGTCAGTTCGTCAGTGAAGCTAGGTGTTCGTTCCAAAGTAAAGATTCGAATGGAGAACAACGAAAAAGAAACTCTAAAAAAAAGCTTGCTAAAACATTTAATATACATTATTGTACCCATAATTATGTAATATCAATGCAGAGACCAAATTGTTAAAAATAAAGAACAAACGATGGAATCAATACGGTAGTTTCAAACTAGTCAAATTCAATACTTTTATCCAAATGTCAAAAAATATACTTTTCTACGAATATATATGAAACGCTGAGTTATGATGTCATAGTATTATTGAGTGAAACAGCGTACTTATTTCTTAAAAAATATCTTAAATTTAGTGTATCGATCGAACGATGAATAAAAGTATAATTATTTTTAAATTTTTTATTGTATTGGACCTTCGAATTATTTTATTTTATTTTTGACCAAGTAAACTACCCAATTCCACATCATTTAATTTTAAATCCTTTATCGCCTCGAACATGGCGCTCACATATGTATACTAGCAATCCAAAAGAATGCTTCTATATAAACTCTATGTTTAAATAATGAAAAACAGTCATGCTTGATGCCACAATTAATACTCAATATTCTATACTTAATTTTATTGAGTTCCATAGTGTACTGGTCTTATGAATAAAAATATAACAGAATCACTATGGACCCTGTCTGCGGGCACAGCAAAGATAAAGGAGAGAGGAAGAGGTCTTGGCGATCGGCAAACGAGCAGACGGATTACCTGATGGGAAGCAATCAGCTTCGCCCATGGACACCCAACGGAGGAGTTACGAGTGCGTTGCCGAACTTTTAGGGATTAGGGTTTTAGGGTTTTAGAGATTTAGGGATCGGAGGAGGGGAAGGATTGGGCTTCCGGTAACCTTACTCACACGGCGAAACACAACGCTGTGGTTGTTTCACGCCAGTTTTCTGTGAGGCCGTGGTATCTATCACTCCGGTCGAGCCGACCCATTCGTGCCGTAGCATGGCTCTCCCACACTTAAATTTAAATATTAATTCGTTCTTAGGATTTAAGTAAGATCTGACTAATATTATGCTTATCCATCCATATATATTGGTGATAGTGTTTTTTTTTTATTTATTTATCAACTAACACACGAGTTTTGTTTTTCTCTTTCATTGTAGATGTTTTACCAAATTCAAATTGTAAGCTTGCTTTTCTTCTCCGCATACGGAGAGATCTCTGCAACAGTAGAAAAGTAGGTAATAACCGGATATTATTATTATTATATGTAATGACATAATAAAATTTATAATTAGCTTCCGCTGACGGCTTTGCACGCAAAAAGTAGCCTATATGTTCTATAATCCAGGGTCATCAATCTACATACCAAATCTATACTTCTATACTTATATTATGAAGAGGTAAAATTTGTAAGTTTGTATGTAAGGGGTAATATTTGGAACCGCTGGTCAGATTTCCAAAATTCTTTCACCGATAGATAGCTACAATGCTCCTGAGTGCTATAGGCTATAAAACATCACGCTACGATTAAATGGAGCTGAGCAGCGGGTGAAACCGCGTGAGACTAGCTAGTTTTAAAGAAATCTGTTCAGGCTTTTCGCGTGGAAGAATAATAGATATACATCCGTACATTCACACAAACTTCACTTATATAATGTTAGTAGAATGCATGGTGTTTGAAATATATTAAATTTATATATTTTTTTCACTTAAATCTTATAGCAAATATAACATCGTCTCTTGAAGTGAGATTTAAAACGTAACTGGCGAAATGAAACAAATATATAACACAGTTCTACCTTCTCTATCCATTAAAAATGCCTCATCAAAATCCGTTGCGTAGTTTCAAAGATTTAAGCATACATATGGATATAGGGACAGAGATACCGACTTTGTTTTATACTAGACTGCTCGGCACCATTTGATGGTAGCGTGATGTTTCATAGCCTATAGCAATCAGGAACATTGTAGCTATCTATCTGTGAAAGAATATTGGCAATCCGACCAGTGCAGCGGTTCCAAAGATTACCCCCTACATACAAACTTACAAATTTTACCTCTTTATAATTTTATACTAGACTACTCTCGCGCGGTTAAACCTGCTGCTCGGCTTCATTTGATCGTAGCGTGATGTTTCATAGCCTATAGCACTCAGAAACATTGTAGCTATCTATCAGTGAAAGAATTTGGCAATCCGATCAGCGGTTCCAAAGATTACCCCCTACATGCAAACTTACCAATTTTACCTCCTTATAATTTTATACTAGATTAGTGTTAATACAAAGGAATTCAAAAACATTACTCCAATATACGTATCATAATAAAAATCATCCAATTCTTTTACATATAATATATATACTTTTCAAAAAATAACATATTTACCAACATACTTGTTAAAAAGGAAGTAAATTGAGGTGAAGTTTTTGAATTTCAGCTTGGACGCCTAATAGCACGGATGGAGACATAAGTGAATAATAGAAAAACGAAGATTATATATTATATATTATTATACATAGTGTATATTAGTTTTGTTATATGTATATTTAGGAATAAATAATGCTAATAAAGATATAAATAAATTAACTATATTTGAATTTACGCTTTGCGCAAGAAGGAGATGTATCGCAACCAGGTATTTGATTGTTTATTTATAATATTGTAGTTTATATTATATTTTACTAACTTTTGCCAGCGACTCTGTTCGCGTGGTATATTGACGTCCTGCAGATTTCTGGTTTAAAAACTATCCTATGTCCTTTCTCGAGTTCCAAACTGTGTCTGTACCAAATTTCACACAAATAGGTTCAGTAGTTTAGGCGTGAAGAAAAGACAGACAGACAGATTTACTTTCGCATTAAATTTATAATAGTAGTTTGGATATCCTCCTCCGATTAATGGACTATCCGACACCAAAACATTTTTTGAAATTGAACCAGTATTTCTTGATTAGCGTGCTATAAACAAACTCTTTCTTAAATAAAAATAAGTCATTTATTTTCAAGAATATGGTATAGTATGTGTTATAACAAGTTTGGGCTCAACATATTCAGCCGTTTATGGCGTGCAAATTTAATTGTTTTTCGATAGTCTACTTAATTATACGTACAGATAAATTATGTTTTATGGGCTGATTTTTCAATACTTAGATAAAAGTTACCTGGGGAATAATTATGTTTTTTTTTATGTAATTGGTCGGCAAATGAGCATACGGATTACCTGATGGTAAGCAATCAGCGCTGCCCATGGACACCCGCAACGGAGGAGTTACGAGTATTACCGACCTTTTAGGGATTAGGGATTTGGAGATTTAGGGATTGAGGAGGGATTGGGCGAGGGGAAGGATTGGGCCTCTGGTTACCTCACTCACACGGCGAAACACAACGCTGTGGTTGTTTCATGCCGGTTTTCTGTGAGGCCGTGGTATCACTCCGGTCGAGCCGACCCATTCGTGCTGAAGCATGGCTCTCCCACTCTTGATGCTGCTGTCGCGTCAGAATGTTTGTATAAGACAGTGACAATTTTATTCCTCAGATAACATTTATCTGGCTATTGAAAAATCAGCCCTTGAATAACTTATTCGGTTTCGGTGTAGATTGATATTCGTAATATATTATTTTATACTGACTAATTAATATCTTTTTTATATGCAGCCCGTGCGAAACGGTCTCCGGTAGCGGCGAGCGGAGTACCTCCCAGTCCGGAACGGTCTGTGGGACGATCCCGGTCCAGACCCGGCGTATCACAGTCACAACGTAAGTTATTTCATAATATACTTTAACCATATACCCCCTTATTACAAAACAAGGTTTATCTTTAGTCCAGGTTTAAACCATTGAGTCGGGTTTTGAATTTTGAATCTTATTGTCATCTATCTTCAATTCGAAATACGAAAACTGGCTCAATGGTTTAGTCCTAGACTAAAGTAAAACCTTGTTTTGTAATAAGGCCGATAGAGTTTTTTGTCAGGGTAATATCATCAAATGACTTCTCCCCTGCCCAGCGAGAGGGAATATCAGACTCTTACTGACTAAAAACACCCCCGTTCCTTCTCCTGCGCTTACCACGGAACTCCGGCTGAGCATCAGCCCTATAGGGCCCCGTCTGTGGTGGTCTATTGGCTCTTAGAGGCGCGCGCGGAACGCTACGCGCCGTACGCTCGGGTCTGGTTCTGGTCGGGCGACGAGCTACCCTTACTCGCCGTCCGCAGACCCGCGCTTACGGTGGCCGGAGATCATCTCTCAATTCCCGATGCATATAGATTTACAGTGTAGAATTGTTATATTTTCCATGGTGTTTGATGACTGGGTTGCTCCCAGTTGTACAGTCTCTTTTGTGTCTTTAAGATCAAAGTCATTCTGTCTCCTGTATTAAATTTACTAAGAGAAGTGGAAACTATGTATTTCCTATTTTCACCTCCTCAAATAATATCTTTTGATTTATTTCGTTGCGGGATCCAAGACAGTCATTCATGTCCCTGGGACGCGGCGGACTTCAGTGTTCCGGTGTCTCCATGGTTGTATCTACTGTAGATCCTGGTGCACAGGAGTTGCAGTGTCCTTAATTATTATGTTTTCGGCTTACTCAAGTAATAATTTGACGAGATATTCGACTATACTCGGAATTTTAATTCCATTCCAGATTTGACAATTTCAGTGTTGCAGCGTTATGACACGTATTAAATAGTGACGTTGCGAAATTATTCGATATGGAAATCGAATATTTCTGAATCTATTCCTCTCGTTTATAAATTTACTCTCGTAAACTAAGTTTATCAGGAAATAAAATATTTCTGAACCGATAATTTAGTTTTGACAATTAATTAACTTTTCTTTTGTAATTGTGTGTGAAATTAATAAAAAATGTGATCATGAAGGAACGAGACTAATAAAACAGACATTTTATAAATTGTCGCCGTCATCGCTATCGCTATCGCCGTTACTCTATGTAACATTTATTATGAATTGTGTCTTTGATATTTATTGTCAATTAACATATCTAGCTTACTAATTTTTTCCTCTTCTTTGAAAACATGGGATACACATTTAGACCATTCGGTAGCCGTAATTTTTTGAATGCCTTCCTGAACCTGATCCACTGATTATTTATCGATTTTTGTGTTTATCACTACACTGTTATATGTGGTATCATTATTTCACAAAATGACAGTGGTCAATGTCAAATCAGGAATCGAATTAAAAGTCTGACTATAGTTTCAAACTTTGCTAGACGCGTCGCGTGTCGTGGAATGCTGCTCATGAATATGGGCCTCTAGCATGGCTTGAAACTAGTCGAGTATCTCGTCAAATTATTTGTTCCAAAAAAATAATAATGACGGTTCTTATTGTTTTACGAACAGCTACGTCACGGTCGTCGTCGCCATCATCCCGCAGCAGTGGGCCTCTGTCCCTGGCCAGCGCGAGACGTCGGCCCTCCGGTATACCCCGCTCCCTGGCTGGCTCTAGGGAGACCAGTCCTACAAGGTAATGTACTAAACTATCATCATTATTTGTTTATTAGCTAGTCTCACGCGGTTTCACCCGCTCTCCTACAGATCATAGCGTGATGTTTTATAGCCTACTAGCTTTTGCCCGCGACTTCTTTCGCTTGGGATAGTGACTTCCTGCAGATTTTAAGTATAAAAACTATCCTATGTCCTTTCTCGAGTTTCAAACTATCATCATTATCATCATCACCAGTCTATAAGTGCCCACTGCTGAGCAAAGACCTCTTCTCTTATGGAGATGGTCAGAACATTAATCACCACGCTTGCTAAATGCGGGTTGGCGATTTCAAACTTATAATTATAAATTGTAAGTCCAGATTTCCTCACGATGTTAACCTTCACCGTATGTCAGTGGTGTCTAAATAATCATAGAAAGTACATATAACTCGGAAAAAGTCACATTGGTATTTGCCAGGTTACGAACCTACACCCTCATGCATGAGAAGCGGGCTCGCTTTAAGGCGGCATTAAGGCGCTTGCTTCTCATGTATGAACCGATTTGAATTTAGTTCTTTAAATGTACTTGTTCCCCCAGGAGTGGGCGGTCGAGCAGCGTGGTGGGCGCGGGCGTCCGGCGGCGCGAGTCCATGGAGCGCGCCGCGCCCGGCCGCGCGCCCGTCGCCACGCTGCGCCTGCTGCAGCAGACCAGGGACGCTGAGGCACTGCTCAGGGTATGCACTCATTTACTTCTTGCTTCTTAAAAAAAGGTTGCCCCACACAAGGATTTTCTCCTGTGCCGTGGGTGTGGTTATAATCATACAATGTCACATACACATCACACCCAGACCCGAAACAACAATTTGTGGATCACACAAAGTGTTGTTCCGTACGGGAATCGTACCTGCAACACACTACGTGGCAGCCAGTTGCCCAACCATTAAATGTGAAATTGTAATGTTCGTAACCATACTTACGCGACACGAGAAAAATTCGTGTGATAAAGTTTAAACAAAAAATATAATATAATCAATATCAATTCTAAATTAAACTAGCAATTCTAATAACAAAAAAACGCACCAAATTCAAAATAAAACACAGTAAAAACTGCACATTAAAAATCATTCAAGAGAGCGAATGTCAGACTCTTACTGACTAACCCCCCTCTCCGTTCCTTGTCCTGCTTTGGCTCAGAGTCGTGGAAACCCAAGCGTATGACACGTAGCGTTCCGCGCGCGCCTCAAAGAGCCAATAGACCACCACAGACGGGGGCCTATAGGACTGATGTTCAGCCGGGGTGGAGGGGTAAGCGCAATGAGGCACCGCGACCTCGGCACAGAACAGGAGCAGGAACAGGGGGGTTTTAGTCAGTAAGAGTCTGACACTCCCTCTCGCCTTACTCTGGGCGGGAAAATAATCAAATGACTACCATTTAATTATTTTCCCCTCACAAAGAAGGGCCTTGGTAAATTTTTACGCTTACCGCCTGTATTGCAGAATTTTACTACTTGACTATAAAACACTTTATTTATTTCCTCAGAGTCCGGAAGACAGTTCAGCGTGCGAGGGAGGTCGCGGCCGGGATGATGATTCTGAGGCTTCCAGCGTTTGTTCAGAACGCAGTCTAGACTCGTATAGGAGACATGATGTAAGTACTAGTTTTTATATTGTTAGTATTTACGCCGTTACAATATAACACGAAATGTATACTTCATATTATAATCTAGTTATTTTGAAGATTTATATATATATATATATAATGCTGAGATATGTGAGTATATTGTTCTGTATACAATCAGACAAACGGCTAACTTCAGACTCGCCAAGATACGTCGGTCGCACTGAAGCTACCAAAAAATAAGTATAACATCAAATCAAAGTTGAAATATGTTTTTAATACAATAGTTTCCAACTAGTCAAATTCAATATTTTTATCTCAACGGTAAAAACGATACTCTCTATGAAATTTGTATGAAAAGCTGAGTTATAACGTCATAGTATTTTTGCGTCAAATAGCTTACTTATTTCTTAATAATTAGCTAAAAAAAAATATAAAACTTAGTGTATCGACAGATCGATGAATAAAAGTATAGTTATTTTTCAATATTTTGTTGTATTGAATCGTCGAATAAAATTATTTTTCTCCTAGGAAACTATCCAATTACTAGTTTTGTTATTTTAACCAACTTCCTCTCATCCCCGCAGTCTGTATCCTGGTCGGGGTCAGCGTCCCGGCTGGGCTGGGAGTGTGGGTCCCCTCCCCCGCCGCCCCCTCCAGATGACATCATCGCACTCTGTGCCTGCACTCATTGGACCGAACGGAAAGACGGACTAACGCATTTGGTAAGTATATATATTAAAGATTTTTTTAAAGGTTGCCCCACACTAGGATTTTTTCCTGTATCGTGGATGCGTTTACAAACATACAATTTCACATACACATCACACTCAGACCAGGAACAACATTTTGTGGATCACACAAAGAGTTGTTCCGTGCGGGAATCGAACCCGCGATAAGATGCGCGGCAGCCAGTTGCCCAGCACCGAAACAAAAAAGTATCAAACTATTTTGACTAAAGGGCCTATGGTCACCTTACTCACAACGCTGTGGTTGTTTCACGCCGGTTTTCTGTGAGGCCGTGGTATCACTCCGATCGAGCCGACTCATTCGTGCCGAAGCTTGGCTCTCCCACACTTAAATATGTATATGAAATTATATGCTTACTAGCTACTCTCGCGCGATTTTACCCGCTGCTCAGCTCCATTTGATCGTAGCGTGATGTTTCATAGCCTCAGCACTAAAGAACATTGTAGCTATCTGTCAGTGAAAGAATTTTGTCAATCCGACCAACGAGCGGTTCCAAAGATTACCCCTACATACAAACTTAAAAATTTTACATCTTTATAATATTAGTATAGATAAACGCACCAACGACAAAAAAGAAAATGCTAGACTTTTAAGAAAAGTGTAATAAACTTATTTTAATTCTTTCCCAGGCTAATTACCTGAACAGCGGTCGTCTCCTAACGGATGACCAGCTCCGACGTTTGACAGAGTTACTCAACAAGATGTTCGTGGATGCCCACACCAAGGTGTTCTCCTTACTGCTGGATGCTGTCTGCGAACTGCTACTCGTACACTGGCAACAACTGAAGGACTGGCTCTATCAACTCATGTTCAGGTGAGACCTTAAGCACTTGTCCATTATTCGGATTTACCTATTTTATTTCTATTGAAAACTAGCGGCCCGCCCCCGCTTCGCACGGGTCCAACTATATCACTATCAAAGGGTTCCTTTTTCCCAATATTCCCCTCTACTTTTCTTATATTTTCTTGATAAGAACCTTCTCCTGACAATAACAAACACAACAAAAAAAGAATTAGCAAAATTGGTCCAGGCGTTGTTGAGTTATGCGCTTACCAACACATTTTGCGATCCATTTTTATATATATAGATAACGACTTGCCTGAGTTGAGTAGTTTCCTAGATCAAAAATAAATTAATTCGACGTTTCAGTACAATGAAATATTGAAAAATAACTATTCTTTCATTCATCAATCGATTGATACACTCAGTTTTAGATATTTATTAACTAATTTTTAGGAAATAAGTAAGCTATTTGACGCTAAAATACTATGACGTCATAACTCAGCGTTTCATACAAATTTCATGAAAAGTATCGTTTTTGACATTCGGATAAAAGTATTGAATTTGACTAGTTGGAAACTACCGTATTGTATGAGAAAATATCTATAAGTGTCAAGTCAAATAGTATAAACTAGCTTTGTGAAAATTAATTATTTTAATACTATAGTAGACTTGACGTTTCGACCTGGTTGCACAGGTCATGGTCGCAAACAGATTCTCAAATAAAATAATTATTATTATTTTTCCTTTTTTCAGATTGCTAATGAAGCTTGGTACGGATATACTGGGCTCTGTCCAGAGCAAGATTATGAAAACTCTTGACGTTATACACGAATGCTTCCCAGCCGAGCTGCAACTACATAATATATTCAGGTAATTATATAATCCTTCTTAAAAGGTTGACAACGTATCTGTGACTTCACTGGTGTCGTGGGTGTCTATTCGCGGTCACTTACCATCAAGTAATATGTCTGCATCAAGTCGATTCTCTAGTAGGAAGTATGATTTGCCTAAATAATCTTAGAAAATAATTAGAACTTAGGAGAAGTCACATTTTTTTATGTTATAAGTCGGCAAACGAGCAGACGGATTGCCTGATGGTAAGCAATCACACCGCCCATGGACACCCGCAACGGAGGAGTTACGAGTCCGTTGCCGATTTTATAATTAGAAATTATAAGTCCAGGTTTCCTCACGATGTTTTCCTTCACCGTATGTCAGTGGTGTCCAAATAATCATAGAAAGTATATATAACTCGGAAAAGTCATATTGGTACTTGTCAGGTTTCGAACCCACCTCATGCATGAGAAGCGGGCTCCAAGGCACCACGACATTTTTATGTGGATTTAAATACGATTGGCGAGTCTGAAGTTAGCCGTTTGTCTGCGCAATGGATCTTTTAGGAACAAAATTGTGTACTGCGCAGCTAATCGGCTAACTTCAGACTCGCCAAGATACGTCGGCGGTATTGTAAATAATATAAGTGTTGTATCCAGGTTTCTCGCGGACGGTGCGACGGCGCCGACCCCGAAGACGAAGGCGGCCGCGCTCCGGTTCCTCGCCGACCTCGCGCACGACTACTGCACTCCCAACAGTCTCGCATTAGCCTTACACGGTATGTTTAATTTGTTGTGTTTAAATAATGCTTAGTGCAGGTGAGCCATGCTTCGGCACGAATGGGTCGGCTCGACTGGAGTGATACTACGGCCTCACAGAAAACCGGCGTGACACAACCATAGCGTTGTGTTTCGCCGTGTAAGTGAAGTTACCGATGGCTAATCTCCCTTCCCCCCATTCCTTCCTCAATCCTTAAATCTCCAAATTCCTAATCTCTAAACGTCGGCAACGCACTCGTAACTCCTCCGTTGCAGGTGTCCATGTAACCTCACTCACACGGCGAAACATAACGCTGTGGTTGTTTCACGCCGGTGTATATGTACTGTAAATGTTACAACAGCGTAACAGTGTGATCTTTGGTTCTATTATTTCTTTATTAATACTAATTATTTTGTATAATTTAATTGAGCTCGAAAATGGATATAGTGACATTTTATTTATTTAGGTAACCGGTTGACATTTAGACTGACTTGTAATTTTTGACTTAGGATTTTAATTGTTGTTTATTTAATTTTCATTTGAACGTTGATATTTTTTTTTATCCAAAGTTTGATCATATTGTTGTGCAAGTATATTTTGGTAATGTCTGCCTAAAGTGACTAATTTAGTACGCCATAAATGGCAAAACATGTAGACTCTATATATACCAAAAACAACTTTATTGTAATCAGTCATGTTTGACTAAATAAATATATGTTAGAAAAAATGTTTACGTTTGAGGGAGTGCTGTAACTGTATAATAAATTACTATCAAGTATTAGAAATGTAAACTCACTCAATGCATTTAAAATTCAGTTTGGCCAGTAGTTAACAGCAAGTAAAACATGCTCACAGAAATGAATGCGTTGGGTGGGTCGTGTTTGTGAAACCACACATAGTGGTAAAGTCGAACCTTCATATTGTTAACATTAATTTATTGTTCTCAAGTAAGTGATATTTGTGTGTTTTTTTTTTTTAAAAAAAACTTTGCCCCACATTAGGATTTTCTCCTGTGTCGTGGGTGCGGTTACAAACATACAATTTCACATACACATGACACCCAGAGCCGGAACAACAATTTGTGGATCACACAAAGAGTTGTTCCGTGCGGGAATCGAACCCGCGACACGTTGCACGGCAGCCAGTTGCCCAGCCACCGCACCAACCGTGCAGTCTAAACTAGCTACAGTAAGAGTGACCTTTACCTAATTTCAAGTAAAAGGGGCAAGGCATCGCGTGCGCCGACGTTGTCTAAGGATAGCGTTAGACAATCTGATTGGACAACAGTCCACGTGGACGCTATATGCACGTTTGCGATATTTTGTCTCGTAGAAAATGCAAATGGAGGATACTCTACACTTTAGTAAAGATTTTTAACAGGATGTTTCATATTTCTAATGTGTTATTAATATTTTTCGTACCTATTATCTTAATTAATGATAAAAAAAATAATAATCGCGCCTAGATGTATTTAATGTCGGATACATTAAGTGGACAACTTTTGTAAGACGACTAAAAAGTCACGGTGTATAGGGGTGTGTATAATATATTGTGCTGTCCGTCCAGGAGGTAGTGCGGGCGTGGCAGGTCGCGCGCTGTGTAAGGTGGCGACGCAGGCGGGCGACCCGCGCGCCGCCGACGTCCGCGCCGCCGCCAGGCGGGCTCTCGCATCGCTCTACGACTGCAACCCGGGGCCGGTCTGTATCTTTCTTATTCATTTCTATCTCATACTACCTACTCTCATCACTTTGATATGCGAATATTTAAACTCAGAAACGAAGTCCTTGTAGAAATATAAAATGTAAAATGACAACTTAAAGAAAATTATTAATAATTATTTATTTAGTACTAAAGACCAGATTTTTGGCAAAAAGATATTTGGACATGGTTATATTGGCACAGAACAATGCAATTCTAAAGACATTCCTGTACAAATACTATGGAAATATATACTTATATTCAAAACTAGCTACTCTCACACAGTTTCTCGCTGCTCAGCTCCATTTGATCCTAGCGTGATGTTTTATAGCCTATAGCATTCAGGAACATTGTAGCTATCTATCAGTGACAAAATTTTTGACAATCCGACCAGCGGTTCCAAAGATTACCCCCTACATACAAACTTACTAATTTTACCTCTTTATAATATTAGCATAGATGAGCCTACCTTAAAATAATTAATATTCTGTGGTAATCTTTCTGTGTACAGTTCACGGCGCTCATGAGCGAGCTACCTCCAGAGACGCAGGCGTCGGTCAACGGAGTACTCCAACAACATGTTCGCAGGACTTCTAGCAGTAAGTCAAAATCAAAATCATTTATTTCAATTAGACCCATACAGGCACTTTTGAACGACAAACAAAATTTTTAAGGTATAAAGTATCAGTTTGTCAGTCAGTCCTCTTATTGAAGCTATTTGCTCGTTCCAAAGTCAATTAAGTAAGGAGAAGGTAACTTTTATCTAACCATAGAAATATCAACCCTTGGACTTGTAGAATATAGGTACTCTTGTCGGCTGGGAGCTGTCATGCTCACTTAGAGGTCTCATTGGCGGTGGCACGGGCACTGGATCGCCCAATTCCCTATAATATGGTTGAGTTGGGCGGTGCTGGTGTACGTGTCATGCTCGTGAACGGGCGCCGCCTATTGAGACTGGTCATCTCCAGGCTGTCTAAATATGTTGTCCTTGAGGTTCACTTCTTTTTCTAATTCTTTGCCTAAACATTAGTGTTACATTGTTCTCACATATCAGAACCGACTAAATGATGTAACAAAGAAATGTATTGTAAAACTGATTGAAAAAGAGTACCTTGAAGTTTCTTGCTCGTTCTTCTCCATAGGAATCTACACACTTTGGAACGAGCAAATGGCTTCAGTAGAAGACAGACGGACAGACTGACACGCTTAAAGTTAAACCTCTTGAAAAAATTTTTTTTTGCTTCACATTCAAAAGTACCTACTGTGGTCTATTTAAATTATTTTGACTTTTGAAAGTATAGATTCCGATGGAGAAGAACGATCAATAAACTCCTTTTTAAATAAGTTTCACATTAGTACATTATTTAGTTTGTTCGATTATAGTTACATAGTCACAATACGAAGTGTAACCCGTCGCCCCCCTTCCCCCAGCAGGCTCGGACAGTCCGCTGCGGACAGTGAGCGGGGCGTCCAACTCGGCGGCGGAGGACGTGTACTCCCGCATACGGAAGACGACCTCCGAGATACACACCTACACAGCGCAGCATAGCAACGGTACCTATTTACACCTAAATGCTATTATAGACTTACAAGCGTCTTATAATATTTTTAAAGGAATGTGTTTTTTAAGAAATTAACACTGGAAACGATTTTCCTTCTTCTAATCTACCTGTTATGAGGCAAAATGATACACATCCTTAGAAAAAAACTTATAAAAGACATGCTATCAGCGTCCCTTTTTCCTGCTCCAGCAGCGGTTTAGAAGAAAGGGGTTAGATGAAGTAATATCTAAGAATAGTATATCGGAATTTTCATTTATAAGACATTGCACATATTGTTTTGATGCATATTCTCTTTTATTATATTATATTATACTAATGTAGCTTCGTTCATCGTGTACTCTATATATAGGTAATTTTATTACGTGTTCAATTTCAGCGGACTGCGGCAACCATATGTCGAGCAAGGACTCCGGTATAAGTCAGATGTCGGACGTGACTCTCTCCAACAAGGGGCACAATGGAGTGCCCAACGGACACTACAGCGCGTCAGTATATTATAATTTATCATAAAAATATTTCATTTCGGACTGATTTTTCAATAGTCATATAAATGTTATCTGAGGATTAAAATTGTTGCTGTCACTGGCTTATACAAACATTGTGACGCGTCAGCGTCATAATTTATACCCAGGTAATTTTTATGTAACTATTGAAAAATCAGACCTTATTAAAAAAATGACCTACATTTTATCTCATGTCTTGGGTGTGTATAAATGCTCACAGCTGAGCAAAGTTCTCTTCTCACACGGAGAGGGTTTGAGCATTAATCACCAACCTTGCTCAAGGCGAAATTAAAAGTCCAGGTCATTTATCTATATAGTTTCTGTCGCGCGGTTTCACTAGCTGCTCGGCTCCTACAAATCGTAGCGTGATGTTTTATAGCCTAAAACCTTCAAAAACTTAAATAATTATTCAATTCAAACCAGTACTAGAGATTAGCGCGTTCAAACAAACAAACGCTCCAGCTTTATAATATTATATAGTATAGATTACTCTTTTGATGTTATGAGGTAAATATTCTAATAAGAAAACACAGCATTTACACACAACACGTATATCTTTGGTTAAGTAGTGTGGTTGATGAATGAATTTGTTGGTTCCAGTGACACGTTAAACCGAGCGGCCTCAGCGGACAGCTCGGAGGAGGCCAACAGTACCAAGGAGTCCTCCCCCGTACCGGCGCATCACAGGCTCGACTTCCACACACACGGGTGAGGGACAAACATAATAATATTACTATTCATATATACCCAATTAACTACAATACGGTATTTTCCAACTAGTCAAATTCAATACTTTTATCCAAATGTCAAAAACGATACTTTTCTATGAAATCTGTATGAAATACTGAGTTATGACGTCATAGAATTTTTGCGTCAAATAACTTACTTATTTCTTCAAAATTAGTTAAAAAATATCTAAAATTTAGTGTATCGATCGATCGATGAATAAAAGTATAGTTATTTTTCGATGTTTTTATTGTATTCAAACGTCGAATTAATTTATTTTTGACGTAGAAAACTACCCTATTTTTCTCTTTCTAGAAAACAATTCATATAAAAATTAATCCAAACATCAGAATGAATTGAAAACACTGCACGGTTGTTGCGATATCTGGGCACCTGAGTGCCGTGCAACGTGTCTCGGGTTAGATTCCCGCACTAAACAACACTTTGTGTTATCCACAAATTGTTGTTCCGTGTCTGGGTGTGATGTGTATCTGAAATTGTATGTTTGTAACCTGAAATTGTCGTGGGTGCACGACACAGGTGAAAATCCTAATGTGGAGCAACGTTAGTTTTAAAGAAACAATACTGATCGAAAAAGAGTAACCATGGAGTTTCTAGCTCGTTCTTCTCCATAGGAATCTACACTTTGGAACGAGCAAATAGCTTCACTAGAGGACAGACTTACCGACTGACACGCTTAATGTTAAAGCTCTTGAATTACTTTATTCCTTTTTTTTGCTTGACGTTCAAAAGTGCCTACTGTGGTCTAATTGAAATAAATGATTTTGACTTTTGAAAAAAAGAATAGTTTTTTTATGTAATTGGTCGGCTAACGAGCAGACGGATTACCTGATCGTAAGCAATCACCGCCGCTCATGGACACCCGCAACGGAGGAGTTACGAGTGCGTTGCCGACCTTTTAGGGATTAGGGTTTTGGAGATTTAGGGATTGAGGAAGGATTGGGCCTCCGGTAACCTCACTCACACGGCGAAACACAACGCTGTGGTTGTTTCACGCCGGTTTTCTGTGAGGCCGTGGTATCACTCCGGTCGAGCCGACCCATTCGTGCCGAAGCATGGCTCTCCCACACTTAAATATATATTACACTTATAATGAATAGGCAACAAATATATATTACACTTATAATGAATAGGCAACTATCGTTTTGTCTCCAGGGAGTTCAACTCTAGTCAGCTGGGACGCGACAAGATCCGCCCATACGAGACCGACGAGAATGGATACGTTATAACTAAATGTAAGTACTAACTATTTTAGCTTTGAACTCGCTACTCTCGCGCGATTACACCCACTGCTTGGCTTCGACAGGTCGTAGCGTGATGTTTTGTACCTTAAAGCCTTCCTCAATAAATCGTCTATTAAACACAAAAAGAATTTCAAATCGAACCAGCAGTTCCTGAGATTAGCGCGTTCAAACAAACTCTTCAGTTTTATAATATTATGTAGTATAGATTAAGAAATATTGCCGTGTTTGAGGACCATAACGCTAACGTGACCCTACGCAGGCGTTGTTTCACGCCGCTTTTCTTTAAGGTCGTGGTATAACTCCGGTCCAAGTCCTACACAAGCATTCTTATCTTACATTTTCTTTCTTTTTAGACTCAAACATCTTAATTACTATGTACGGTTTCATAACCGCACATAGCACGTTTAGTCGACGCAGCAATATTGAATGCGCGTCACCCAATGCATAGCCTATATAATTTAACGTATTTTAGTAATCGGAGTAGTAGTACTATAACTACCGAACAAAGTCAAGGAAAGAAACACGACAACTTTATTTGTAACTTTTACCTAACATAATATACGCAACTACAAACTATAACTTGTGATCTTTTCTGTGAACTACTGCATTTTCAACAACTACAAAACACAACTACAGTGTAAGGATCTAACTAGACCTCACATACTATAAAAATTCAGTTTGCTACGAATAACTAACATAATACCTTCTCTCTTGCAGCGGGTCTCCGCGAGCCCGAAGTGCTGGAAGCCCTATGCAAGTTGGACGTTGGGGCTGCGCCCCCGGAGCACTGGGAGCGCTTACTGCTCGCCACGCACGAATTGCTCAAGTACGGAGACTGCAGGAAGCCGGCGGAATACTTCAAGTTAGTACAATAATCTTATTTAATGTCAAAGGTGGCAAATGAGCAGACGGATTACCTGATGGTAAGCAATCAGCGCCGCCCATGGACTCCTGCAATAGCAGAGGAGTTACGAGTGCGTTGCCGACCTTTTGGGACTAGAGATCTGGAGATCTAGGGCTTGGAGGCAGGGGAAGGATTGGGCCTCCGGTAAGCTGACTCACACGGCGAAACAACGCTGTAGTTGTTCCACGCCGGTTTTCTATGAAGCCATGGCATCACTCCGGTCAAACTGACCCATTCGTGCCAAAGCTTGGCTCATTCCTTTTTTTCGTCATCTAAATTTCATGTAATATTAGTCTGTTTTTTCCAATGGCAAGTTAAAGGTCTTTCCTTCTGTTACCGAGGAGACGAAATGTATTTGTATAAAAAAAATCCCACAAAATCGACTAGACTCCCTCCTATAGCATATGACTCATAACATTACCTACTTGTGAATGTATTCTGAATATACGTGTATGTTGCATGTCTGCCTACCCCATCAGAGATAAACATCTTAATGATATTCCGTTGTATGATTCCAGGAACATAGTACGAGTAGCTTTGGCGGCGCTGTCAATAGACGAGAACTCGGGCGACAAGGAGAATACTGAACACGCCAGCAATGCGCAGCAAACTTCAGGTTGGTTACTGGGATTTTTTATGGAATAGGAGGCAAACGAGCAGACGGATCACCTGATGGTAAGCGATCGGCGCCGCCCGTAGACATCTGCAACACCAGAGGAGTCACAGGCACGTTGCCGGCCTTTTAAGAAGGAGTACGCTCGTTTCTTGAAGGTTTGAAGGTCGTATCGGTTCGGGAATACCGCCGCCGAAAGATCATTCTAAAGTTTTGCTGTGCGGGCAGAAAGTTACGCGTGAAGTTTAGTAAAAATAAGCACTTTTTTAAGAAGTCAGACTCTTACTGGCTATACCCCACCCCATTACAGATTAGTACATTATTACGCTTACCCTGCACTTGCTCATAATCAACCTCTTTAGTTGAATAGTATTACTATAAATAGTAATTGGTAGTAATCTATTCTAATACTAACTTTAGCCCGCGATTCCTTTCGCGTGAAATAGTGACTTCCTGCAGACTTTTGGTTTAAAAACTATCCTATTGGTAGTAATCTATTCTAATACTAACTTTAGCCCGCGATTCCTTTCGCGTGAAATAGTGACTTCCTGCAGACTTTTGGTTTAAAAACTATCCTATGTCCTTTCTCGAGTTCCAAACTGTGTCTGTACCAAATTTCACAAAAATAGGTTCAGTAGTTTAGGCGTGAAGAAAAGACAGATTGACAGACAGAGTTACTTTTGAATTTATAATATTAGTTTTTGGATTATAAAGCTGGAGTGTTTGTTTGTTTGAATGCGCTTATCTCCATAACTACTGGTTCTAATTGAATAATTATTTTGGTGTTCGTAAGTACAATTATCGAGGAAGGATTCAGCCTATAAAACATGCTACCTACTACCTACTATTGTAAGAACCAAGCGGCAAGTGAAACCGCGTCACAGAAGCTAACTAGTCTTAAATTTCCCTTACTCGTCCACAGGTTGGGGCACGGCCAACGAGCGCGCTGCAGCGGAAGCTGTGAAGGTTTTGATCTGGTTGTGCAGGAGGCCCGAGACCAGGCCCCAGTGGCAGGACTACTTCGACCTCATACTCCTCAAGCTCATACACGCTTACGAAAGCCTCAACAAGGAAGTTATGCGGGCCGTGGAAGCTGGAATGCCGCATATTGCTAACGCCTTGCCGGCTCAGCAGGTTAGTGGCCGGGGTACGGCGATACTGGAGATGGTTGTGGGGGGTAGTGGGGTCAAATTACTCTATTAGTCCTTCACAAAGTCGCCCGTCCCTTCTTTCCCTATAATTTGGAGGTAGACTTCATTTTTCTGTGACAAGTCCACCATGACCTCCCAAAACCGACTTTGACTGCACGGTTGGTGCGGTGGCTGAGCAACTGGCTGCCGAGCAACGTGTCGCGGGTTCGATTCCCGCATGGAACAACTCTTTGTGTAGGCCACAAATTGTTGTTTGGGGTCTTTATATGATTTGTATGTCAAATTCAATGTTTGTAAACGTACCCACGACACGAAAGCAATATTGTAGGCCAAGACTTAAACGCCAGTATTTACAAGTATCCCTCGGTAAATTTAATGCAAGAGCCAGAATGATTTAAGTCTTAAAGGCACGAAAGATTCTATACAACTGGGAGAAGTCCAGTCACCAAATATCGGACCTACGTGTGAGCTGCAATACTTTATTTCTAGTAATATTTCTAGCAAAACGCGTGGAAATTTATTCTAGATTCCACATTAAGCACTCTACAATAATAAAGACAATATCAGTACGGTAAAACGGCGTGAATAGTCACAGAAGAGGGGGATACTAGGAAAATTCGCCAATATCTATTCACCCCTTTCGTGTCCCGAGCGTACGGCGGGTAGCGTTCCGCGTGCGCCTCAAAGAGCCAATAGACCACCACAGACGGGGCCCTATAGGGCTGATGTTCAGCCGGGGTTGTGGGGTAAGCGCAATGAGGTACCGCGACCTCGGCCCAGAGCAGGAGAAGGAACAGGGGGGTTTTTAGTCAGTAAGAGTCTGACACTCCCTCCCGCCCGACCCTGGGCGGGAGAAGTCATTTGATGATTTTCCCCTCACAAAAAAAACCCTTTCGTGTTATTAATTATGTTTTCGGCTTACTCACGTAATAATTTGACGAGATACTCGACTAGTTTCAAGCCATGCTAGAGGCCCATATTCATGAGCAGCATTGGGCGACACGCGACTCGGCGACCGTCGCGCTGCTACTGGCTACTCGAGTCTGCGCGCCCAACGCGCCCTCTGCCGTGATTCACGCGCACTTTCTTCTAGTCGTGGTGTCGGCAGCGACACTGTTGCTACGCTAGACTCGCCCGCCTGCAGCTGCGTTGGTGTTGGGTTCGAATCCCGGATCGACGCAAAAAAGCATGGCTTGAAACTATTCGAGTATCTCGTCAAATTATTACGTGAGTAAGCCGAAAACATAATAAACCCTTTCGTGTATCTATTTACCCCTCGAATTCTATTCTCTTCTGTGTCTTTTCACCCCTTTTTACCGTAAGTATATCGTTCCTCTGCAGGTGCTAGCCCTCCTGAAGCCAGTGATCCGTACCCGCGGGTACCCGACGTCACTCTGCGCGCTGAAGCTGGCCGCCGAGGTCGCCAAGGCGCGCCCCAACGAGCTCACTGACGATACTGTACAGCATCTCATGGAGGGAGTCGGACAGGTCAGGATGTTTCATATATAGGTATATCAGTAAGGGAGACCCATACTTTACTGTTCTACGGGATTTGCGACCACTGCAGGTGTTATCCTGCCGAAATGTCAAGCAAAAATTTAGCCATGCTTCGGCACGAATAGGTCGGCTCGACCGGAGTGATACCACGGCCTGGAACTACCACGGGCGGGGAAGGATTGGGCCTCCGGTAACCTCACTTACACGGCGAAACACAACGCTGTGGTTGTTTCACGCCGGTATTCTGTGAGACCGTGGTATCACTCCGGTCGAGCCGACCCATTCGTGCCGAAGCATGGCTCTCCCACACTTATAATACCTTTTTACCAATTTTCGCCTGAAACACGTGTTGTACTTGGTATAGCTTTAAGTAAAACAGTATATTCTAGATAAGAGATTACTAGATTAATAATTTTTATTATTTATTATAACTGTTGAGCTGTATAACATTAGTATAGTGGTCCTAATGGTCTCTCTCCCGGTACAGCTAGCGGACCACCAGAACAGCGCGGTGCGCAAGGCGGCCGTGTTCTGCATGGTCGCCTTCACGTTCGCGCTCGGGGAGGAACGCATGCAGCCGCATCTCAAGCATCTCTCCGTCAGCAAGTACCGACTGCTGCAGGTAAGCTGTTCTTCCAGCCTCCGCTGTCCAAGGCGCGAGCAAGGACTGCCGGTACTAATCCCCCCTCCCCCCGCAGGTGTACATCAGCAAGCAGCGCGAGGAGTCCCCCCGCGGCGGGGGCGCCCCCCCCTCGGCGCCCACGTAGCGCCGGCGCCGCGCACGCCTGCGCACGCGCAGCACGCAGACGCCGGACGCACACACGCACCACTAGCTCACACACACACTCTAACCGTCTCTACGTCAGCTAGCGGGACTCTACATTCTCACTTTACTCCTTCATTCAGTCGGAGACTGGTTCGTCGACGAGTCGGGCGACTAGTCGAGCTACGACCGGTTCCAAGTTTACTGGTTAGATGGACAGTAAAGCCAGTCTCCTACTGAATTAAAAAGTTATCTTCATTTACATTTTAAAACAAGTCAAAAAAGTGTTGCGCGTGATATGAAAGACTGTGACAAAGGTGTGTCGGCGAAATTGGACTGTATTACGATGGTAACGGGGGCGAGATTCGTGTGCGCACTTGTATAATAGCTTTCTACATTTATAATCGCTTGAAGAATGAAGATTGGACGGTCAGGTTAGTAACTATAACTATAAAGTCGTCATTTCAGACTTTAGTTGGAACGAATTTGGATTCTATGTCCATTGGAATAAGAATTTCTCGTAATAACTTGTTTGACAAAGTTGTATCTCCAGTCGACGGAACCAACCCTTTGATAATAGTGAACTCGTTCCTCTCTTTCCAACAACCATATTTAGTAATGTGGTAGACAGGGATAGGTATACAGAATAAAGCTTAACAAGGATTAGTCTACATTTGTAAGATAATAAGATCTGATTTAACTGAAACACTAGTACAAGACAGACTTTGTGAAAATTGGGTGCCATGAGAAAATATTCCCAATGACAAAAAGCCAAAACAATTATTTCAAATAGACCAATTTGAGGCAATTTTGAACTACACACACAATTTAAAATAAAATGTTTTAAGTGTCAGTCTGTCCGTTAGTCCTCTAGTAAAGCTATTTGCTCGTTCCAAAGTGTAGATTCCTATGGAGAGTAACGAGCAAGAAACTCCATTGTACTCGATATTATCAGACACACAACGTTTCTATGATCTTTTGTGTCACATATAGAGGCAATCAATACAGAGACAAGTTCCAGTTTCATAATTTAATTAGTCCATCTTCCAAGCTCTATAACAAGACCAAAGTCATTATTTATTATGTTTTCGGCTTACTCACGTAATAATTTGACGAGACACTCGACTAGTTTCAAGCCATGCTAGAGGCCGATATTCATGAGCATTCCGCGACACGTGACTCGGCGATTGTCGCGCTGCTACTCAGTATCAGCGCGACAGTCTCTAGCATGGCTTGAAACTAGTCGAGTATCTCGTCAAATTATTACGTGAGTAAGCCGAAAACATAATAAATTATTAAGAATGTCTCACGAAAGTTATAATAAAAAAAAAGACCAAAGTAATTTAGCGCACTATTATAAAAAGTTGCTTTCGCGTAAATGTTGTAAATCTCGCCCCTCGATATTAGTAAGGTTTGTAGTATCGGCTAAAATTGTATAGAATGTGCTATTCGGTACGGCTGAAGCGTTTTGTATGTGTAAAAGCATTTGATGTTGTGGCTACGACAGCTGTGTTATCACCGCATCACATACTCATTCTGTTGTATTTGTCTTCCTAGTATGAAGTGGGAAAATTCCCATTATCTGGTCAGAATAGGAATTTCATAGTAAAATATTATGTGCTGTGGTGAAATCACTGTGACCGCCAATGCTGATGTAAAGTTACTATTCGGCTTCGGAGATGTATAAAAATATTGTACAAGATAGATGATCATTCCTAGGAATCATTCCCCGTTCGGAATATAATTTCCCATTACATGGAATTATTCTCATTGATTCTTCCATTCGTCAGTTTACATTTTAAAATTGTTTGTCATCTAAAATTATGTGTGCCTTTTCACAAATTGTTGGTTTTTTTAATGGAGAAATATGTAAAAATCATGTTGTTTTGTAAATTATGGTTAAATTATTATCTGTACGGCGATTCGGTTGTTAATTTCCCATTTAAGCCTTTTCCTAGTGGCTCTACTGTGGAGTGGCTCAAAAATGTTATCTGATAAAGTTAAAAAAGTCAATGTCATACTAATTAGTCCACCAAAAATTCACGTAACTTAGTCCTAATTGACTGCAATAAGAATCAATCATTACTGAAATAGAAGTATTTAAGAATCTTATCGAAACTAGTAGTACCAGACTAGACACAGTCGCATCTCAAGGCGTCTCAATTAAAAAACAGGATTTCCCATCACATGGGAAAATTAATTGTGACGTCTCTGGACTCATTATAAAGAACTTGAAATGTTAAAAACGATAAAGAAAAGATATTTATTCCCAATCAAGTGACAAAATAGTGTAACAGTTTGCCTTAACATAGAAATAATATATGAAATAATGTTTAAAACTAACCGTTGGGTTCTCGCAGAAAACTATGAGTAAAATTAAAAAAAAATTTTATGATGAAAAAAACATTTCGAATATTTAAAATGACCGTTAAGTTCATATTTAGGTGTGGTGCTCGCCGCCATCTTTGTTTTAAAGATGGTATTGCCATGTCCGTGAGATTAGAAAGTGTTTTATAGAAGATGTTAACTCGAGTCATAAAATGTTCCAGACCAGTAAAAAGCTAGGTCTATACTAACTACCGGTTTTTCTATAAGCACTCTGAAAACAATCAAACGACTAACGATTTTTTGTAACGACTAATAATCGCAGCGATTTTTTTTTTATTTATATATAAAAGCAATGGCTTTAAGAGCCATGCGTCTTAGTGTACATACTGAGAACCGGTTTTTGATGAGTGGCATTTGTATAGAAAGAGTTAGAAGAAAGAAATTTACTGCAGTTTTTGCATAGGAAATTGAACTTTATAGTCATGAAGATTCTGCTGATAATCTCGTGCGGTAATCACTGCAGTTTTATTTCTATTTTGCTGCGTAAAGACATTTATTTGAGACTGTGCGATATGTATAAAGGATTTCGGTGCTTGTGTTTGTATGTTGTGAAGTGGTACCGTAGGTGAGCGACGTCCCGTCGCGACTTGTTACAATTTAGCGCTGTCTTTAACATCCAAAGTTAGTAATTTTCTTATTTTTGTGTTTCTTGTGCGTTTATTTGAGGTTACGCAGCCGTTTGAGTGATTTTTGGAGTATTTTTTGAACGTCGTTTAACTCCTATAAATAATATCTCAATTGATACCAAAGGATATATAATTTCTTAATGATGTATCATTTCAAAGTTATATTTACTGACACGCAGAAAGTTACCTCAAATAAACATACAAACGAACACGGAGACAAACTCACAAACTATTTTATATAATAAAAATAAAAAAAACATTTCATCACGTTCTTTTTTTTTGTTCTCTTTTTTTCATAACGCTTGTAATGTTTTAAGCGGTTAATTTTTGAGGTCAGCGCGGCAAAAACTGATTCGGGAATGTGTTATTTGTAATTTATCTTTGTATGGGTCGATTTATACGGGAGCAGAAACGAAGTAAAGATCCAAATATGTGCATTATGCTGTCTAGATAAGGTTGAATTTATTCTGTTTATAATTAGGTTTTCACTTCGACGTGCTTCGAGTCTGCACCCGCGTAATATTACTATAACAAATAATGCTTTAAGCATTCAATTTCGTTTGTAAACGAAACCTCAGAGATGTTCATCGAATATAGTTTTTGCCGAACTTACGTCGCGTTTGTTTTGTAACAATATTTATCATTTTGTATACTTTTGATGTAATATATGTTATGTATTGTGTAATGTGTCGGTTTGGGTCTAAACAACTGTTTGGCAACGCCATTCATATCCAAATTAGTGGTTTTGCCAAACAGTGTCCGGTCGGACTGACGGCCGGCGTCAGTGTTTTAAAATTATGTATTGAATCTCATTTTGTATGAACGCTTTAATTGTACGTGTGGTATTTAGTAACGTCTTTTTAATTATTAAAATTGAACATAATCCTGAATACTAGTAGTAAATATTTCCTTCACTGAAAATTGACAAATAGAGTAAATCCAACCAGTGAATTGTACAATATCTATTTAGTAAGGAAAAGCATTATGTCAACGAAAAATTAAACTCGTTCACGACGAACTTCAGAGAATAGTACTCACGGCTCGGGCGAAGCGGGGTCGCTGGTGATAGTATTAAAAATCGTTACTAAACAACACACATATGCACACAGCTTTACACAATATGTTTTAAAACACTGAAACCTGATTGTTGTATCTCATAGTGCACTGTATCGGTGAATTGCATTGTCATTCCCAAGTATTCAAAGTAACATAGTTTTTTTTTATATAAAATCCTCGTTGTAAATTATTTCCCAATGTCTGGTTGGGATGGGAAATAACTCGGTCAGGCTTTTAAGCATTTATTGATTGTATAAAAGTCATATTTTCCAATTCAAAACTTGTCAAAGATACTTGGGAATATTCCAACGGTTGGGAAAATTTAGAAAACATTCCCAAACATTGGAATACCATTTCTACATTGGTAAGCCGACTTCTTTTGTTATTGTTGTATTTGGAAAATTCCCATCGGTTGGAATAATGCTTTTAACACCGATTTCTCGAACTATTTATTCCAAAATTACATTATTTACATAAAAATTTTTGAAAGCACACTTATAGATTTTTGTTCGAAAAATGTCTAAAAATAATGTAATTTTGAAATAAACAGTTTGTCAGTTCGCTGTGTGATATTGTTATGATAAGACGTGCATTTAAAATATACTAAACGCTTGAGTGCGAGAGACGCAGTGTCAAATACCCGTAATTACTTACTGTATTTAAATTTATAATTAATAATTATTGATTATTAATGTACGATAGTTATGAATAAATGATTTTTAAGCCTTTATTGTTTTGTTTCTTTTTATATTTACTAGTCTTTTATTGCATAGAACTGGTAGCATTCTGGTGTTTCTGAACCTTTTTACACATTGTTAGCTGTGGTGCTGGTGTTTTTTTTTTTGTGGAATAGGACGGAAAGCAATCAAAAGGAAAAACCTCATGGTAAGCAAACAGCGTTGGTCATAGACACCCGAAATAACAGAGGAATTACTAGTGCGTTACCCAACTTTTGGTGATTAGGGATTAGAGCGGGATTTGGGGAGGGGAAAGATTGCGTCTCCGATAACCTCACTCAAACGGCGAAGTACAATGTTATGGTTGTTACACGCCGGTTTTCTGTGAGGCCGTGGTATCACTCTGTGGAGCCGACCCATTTATGCCGAAGCATGGCTCCTACACTTCTATCGACCTTCGCGAGAGCACTACCAACTTGCACTACCAACTTCATCATATACAATAGATGGTTGGCAAACTACAACTGTGCGTTTGTCCCATAACTGCCGCGCACAGCAAAATTGTAGAATAAACGCGTGCGTTCGTGCAGCGGAATGTTGTTGAATTTAAAGATTTTAATTATGCAGATATTTAGTGTATGACGTCGTATAATTGTGTATGGTAAAAAAAAAATTGTGCACGCAACCTGATTCCGCTTTATGTTTAAAAATAATGTAATTTTGAAATAAACAGTTTGTCAGTTCGCTGTGTGATATTGTTATGATAAGACGTGCATTTAAAATATACTAAACGCTTGAGTGCGAGAGACGCAGTGTCAAATACCCGTAATTACTTACTGTATTTAAATTTATAATTAATAATTATTGATTATTAATGTACGATAGTTATGAATAAATGATTTTTAAGCCTTTATTGTTTTGTTTCTTTTTATATTTACCAATATTTTATTGCATAGAACTGGCAGCAGTTTCTG